TAAAGATCATTAAATTCTTTTATAGATCAATAATTTTATAGCTAAACTAAGCGAATTTTTCGTAGTTGATATTTTCACATACTTTGACATAGTTGGAAAAACTTGGTGCGGTTTTGAGATTAGATAAATTGAAATTTTGAGGTTGCGAAATAGGAATAGGAGCAAAAATACAGATGTATTTAACTACATGGAGAAAAAAAATTGAGATTGAAAGAGTATTATTCAGTTTTGGCGCCAAAATTGCTGCTTGATTAAACAAAGACGATAACTCATCCAACATGTTGCGGCATTTGTACAGACTGCGCGCGCAAGTAAATACTGACACAACAAGAAGTGATGTAATGATTTACACAACAAAAATACAAACACTCCATCTTATTTAAATTGCCTTCATGGATTTTAGAAACAAATCAGATATTAAATGACAATAACAACATGTTTCTTGGTCAGGAACTTCCTAAAAACTTTTGACTGAGTTCTCCTCATCCTCCTCCAAATAAAATAAGTCAAAAAATAATTCTTAAGAAACTAGGAATTTTGCATGGCTTCGTTAAAGATGTGAACATTTTTGTTTCTGTGTGCCACACTCAACTCAAGTATACTTTAATCTGAGCTAAAGGAACCTTTATGGTCCAAGTTTGTACTACCCCGCTTATTTAGGGTTTCCGGCAAAAAGGAAAAATTGTTTTGCGAGAAATATTATCGTGAAGTTTTCTAATTTTGCATTTTTGAGAAAAAATTTTGCGAAATTACGCTTCGTTTTTGCTTATTTTTTTTCTCGAAAAAATGCGAAATTTTGTAAAAAAAAAAAGTTTGCAAAATGCGACCGAAAATTTGGCTGGAGACCCTAAGCTCAGTAAACAGGGCTAGCTGGTCCAATAGGTTGACATGGTTCGCCTGCATCTTGTTAAATTTACAATTATTTGTGGTGTGCTGTCCTAATAGTTTTTATGTTATTGATAAAATAAGCAATACTTGAAAAGAGCAACTTTTAAGCAAAAGATTTTAAAGTATTTTTGACTTTTTTCCCTGATAGAGTGGTGAAGGTGAAAGGTAGAATATAGGGTTGATATGAACCTCCCCCATCTCACCAAAGGTAGTCATGAAACTACTCGTTGAAGGAAAACCCGGGCCAACATCCTCCTCGGCCTATTACAGTGGTTGGCGTTTTTTATCAATACAATGAAGACACTTTTGATTTTTGATTTCTACCAAGCTTTTTTTTTCAAATTACAAGTTTACAAGTAAACAAAGAGAAGCTGTTAATTGACAGCTTCTCTTGGTTTCCATCACTCCGGGAAGCATGCGGTTTCTTTTATTTGAAATCAAACGTGTTTTGGTCTATAATTCAACCATCTTTAAACTTACAGTTTTGTTTATTTTATATTTTTTATTTAAAATGCCTATGCCGACAAAAAAGTATTATAGAAAAAAGGCTAAACAATTATGTTTAATGGGTGAAATTGTGATCGAAAGTCACAGCTTTCTGAAAATATTGACAGAACCGTTAAATCCACGTGCCATGATTATGCGTATCCATGCAGTGTAGTACTCAAATATTGAAACCGAAAGTCCTTTTTATTTTTTATATATACCACTACGATTGTATTAAAAATATACAGTGAGAATCATAAAACTCAGAAATGGGAAGACGACTTTAAGACTCAATTTATCACTATAAACAATCCAATGAGCGTGAGACCCATTTAATTGTCTAAGATATACAGTGAGATTCTGAAAACTTTGGAATAGGAAGACGACTTTTAGACTCAAGTTATGACTTTAAATATACATTATACAAAGCAATGCTTGTGCAGTGTAAAAATTATTTAACTTAATATATAAAGGGATTTAACAAGTTGCTATTAAACATATACTTGCTTATTAAGTTATTAACAACATCAAATACACTTGAAAATTGAGTTTTCTTCATACTCACAGTTAAGATAAGTTAAGATAAAAAAGTATAACTTACATCAGTATCCTGGCCACTTGCATCACCAAGAGCTCCAATAGCAGATAGTTTAGCAGGACCAGTAAATAAAGGAGGGGCCTCCTGAAAACAGAGTTAACATTTACTTTAAATTTTGTTAGGAGCGTGCTAAAGCTTAAGAAGATGAATAGATGTTGTGAAAAAAATCTTGCAGTTGAGTTGAGAGAAACAAAATAAAAGTAGGCATCAAGTTTGAATTTGTTTTTTTCTTGAAATATATTTATTAACCAGGCCATCAGAAGGTTGTATAAAAATATCATGGAAGTGTTTTTAATTTAAAAAACTGTCATATAAGTTTAGAAAGTTTTCTCATAAACAAATAAAACACCAAGGTTTTCAGTTCAAAAATAAAATCAGGTACTTTAGATATTAGTAGTCTTTAATCAAGGAGAACTGAATAGAAGGAGGGGGCGATAGGGTTTCCGTACACTTTGCTGTGACGTTTCTGGACTGGTGAAGAACTAGTTTTTGCGTAACAACAATAATAAAGATTTTAAACAATAACACAAATGTTAAACAGACATCTAGGGGGGCGGGGGGGATAACCTTGAATTTGATTGAAAATGTCTCTGTAATAAGGTCCTTTTCGTATAAAACTAAAATCCTTAACTTTTTCAATCTTTTTAACAAGATAATTGTACTTTCACAGTTTACTAACTCATGTTTGTCTACATTAGATCGGCTGCCTTTGTTATTGTTGTTACGCAAAAACTAGTTCTTCGCCAGTCCAAAAATTAGATTAGAAAATGTTCAGCCAAATTATTAAACAAGCAACAATTTGTAAACAGTGATTCCACAAGTTAGCCTTTGCTGCCCTGCACAGAACACATTTCAAATCTTTTTCAGCAAAGGAATTGAGCACTGGCAGCCGTAGTACATTTGAATTTCCATTCGGTCCCAGCTTGTACTGTACCTAGCTCTATGGACAGGACTAGCCGGTGCAACAAGGTTGACGCGGTCAGACTTTATGCTTCATATATAGGATTAATTTACTTTTACGTATGAGTCTTTGCCACAAACCTTGATTTTCTAATTCTTAAATCTTCGCGAACCCAATGTCGTAGACCTTGGATATTTCAAACTTTGAATTCTGTTGGATCAAAAAATCTAATTTTGAAATATCAAGATTCTACACCCTAAGGTTGCCAAAATATAGGGATTAAAAAAGTTGAGTTTGTGGCAAAGACTCAATTCCTTTGTTCATTATTTTGAAAAAATAATTTTTATGTACGTTACAGTAAACATATCTTTATTTCACTGCAAATATTATTCAAATCTCGCTTTAAAGGGACTGTCAACTTAATTCTAAGAAACCCTCCATGCAAACATGTCCGATTCCCAACGGTTCCCTTGAAGTTTTTACCTGATTAAAATACGCAGAAGGACACTAGATGTTGTCTTTTCAAGATTTCGGTGTGTTTCGTTCACTATACTCCTAAGCCAGAAGCCTAAAGAAGTTATGTGCTCTCTCTCTGTCTTTGTGCTTCTGCCGCAGGGTTATATAAACATAACACACAAAAATCTTGAAAAGATGACATCTAGTGTCCTATCTGTTATTCTAATTAATCTATGACTGAATACCTCTAAAAGGGAGAGATTTGCGTCCTTTTCACTTACAGCACTGCTTAATGCTACTTGCCTGAACAAAATAAAATAAAAAAAACTAAACTTTAAAGTAGACATTTTGTAAGTTTTTATTTTTTCCACTGTTTCTGCCACAAACATGACTATAGATTAATCATAAAAATGAGTAGTCTACCCTTGACTTTTCCAACTGTTTTGAGGGAGCACTTACAAAACTTTTTTCCACAAATCAATTCCTTCACGAAACGTTTCATTCACAAAACGTTTCCTCATAAAACGTTTCCTAACAAAACACTTTAACGACAAAACGATTCCTGTTACAAAGCGTTTCCTACACAAAATGTTTTCTCCCCAATATATTTCTTGTCACATTATGTTTCCTGTCACAAATTATCTAATAAAACACTTCCACCACAAAATGTTTCCTGACACAAAACGTTTCGTCACATAACATTTCACCAAAAAATGTTTCCTGCTACAAATATGGATTTAACCTTATAACAAAATGTTAATTTGATCAAATGTTTCCTTTTGATAGTTCACTAATTTATAAAAGACAACGGTTTTCAAGGTAATAATGCAAATTAATTGCGGTCGCGTATACTCTGCGTACATATTGAAACCAGTTCTCTCTGGGCGGAATTTGTAAACAAGAATTTAGATGCATCAGTGTTCGTCTAGTATCCGAGGAAGATAAAAGCATTTAATTTTGATAATTTTGATATTTCACATAATAGTTTCCTATGACCAGAATATTTCATAGATTATTTTTGTGAACATTGATTCCCATATCTGGCTGAGACATCCGTCTTGTGTTTACTTTTCCGTCCAAAGACAGTTGGGGAGGGGAAAGTCAGGAAGGGGAAAGTCAGGAAGGGGAAATAATCAAAACCCCATTGTTCATGAAATAGATTTGTTTATATTAATCCTATATATATCTAGCGGATATATATCTATGGTGAATACTGCACACTTTCCCATATCATTGCAACCTGATGGCGCAAACTGAGACTATTTGATCTAGTCTTATTAGATCGAATTATAAAATCAATATTATATATATACATAAAATTGCAAATACAAAGAATTAGAAAATTAAAGTATTCGTTCAGGGCGTTCTGTTTCTTAAATATAATTTATAGGTTCAAATTTAGAATAATGGAAAATTCACGTAATTGTAGCACTTTTCTCTTTGGATTGAAAACCACTCCAAAAATAATGAATATCGCGTAAGTTATATTTATTTACAATGAGAAGCAGCAATATGTGAAGAAGGAGGACGACATTAACTTTTTAAATCCCGTATTACGTGAAATGTGCTGCCTATATATACGATGTTGCAATCGCTGTGTCTCATGAGCATTGATTTTTTTAAAGCCATATTTTAAGTCTTAAAGTCGTCTTCTTATTCCAGAGTTTTTTGGTTCTTGCTGTAACTCTCACCTCATAAGGTCGCTGTGTACTGTACAGTTTAATGTACTGACTCCAGAGCAGCTTTGAGATCTTTCAGCCATTTTAACCTGGGAGTAATAATAATAATAATAATAATAAATAAATTTCATATATCTATTGAACCAGGCTAGTCAGCTGACGTTCTATTTTCATCACGTGTTTTCGCAGAGGTCTACAATAAATTTCATATATCTATTGAACCAGGCTAGTCAGCTGACGTTCTATTTTTATCACGTGATTTCTCAAAGGTCTACAAGAAACAAGGTTATTTAGTAAATTAGTAAGGTATCTCTATGTATGTGAAATTATATGTAATGTTAAAATGTGAAAAGTATAAGTTTTATAATATTTTTGACATAAATGTTTTCATTGGAAAGTTTATTAAGATTAAAAACGATATTTAATTCATATCCTAACTGTCATGTTTAATTGGACACCCAGTATAGTGAGAACCAGAAAACTGTCTAATAGAAAGACGACATTAGACCATTAATTAAGTGTTTTTGATGTTTTCACAAAGCAATTTATTGATTATTTCAATGAAATGGGTCTGCATAGATCACAAAGTTACTATGTTTCATGTTAATTGACATTAATTTAAAGTAATAAATTAAGTGTTAAAGTCGTCTTTTTATTTTAGAGTTTTCTGATTCTCATTGTATAAGAAATAGACCTGCATGTGGCACAACTGTTTAGGTTATTTGCGTTTTGCAGACATAATATTCGCTGTTCTAATCTCATTATCTAAATACAGATCAATTAATAATATTAAGATTAGCTTTTCAATTTCAAGTAACCCTCTGATATAAAACATTAATCTTTCTTAACCTTTTTGTGATTGATAAGATGCAAAAGACGTTGAAAAGGTAAAAAAAAAATTCTAAATTAAAAACTGCTTTTGATCATATTTTTTGGAAGCATCTAGTGTTTTTAAACAACTTTCCAATTAAAAACTTACTTTTGAATATTTGTAAAAGTTTAAAATTTTAAAATGAAAAATAAAAAATACCTTCTCTGCGTTTTCTTCAAATCTTTTCTCTTCATCCCTAAAACAATTTTTTTAATTTAAGCAACTAGTTTAATTTTTACATGCAAATGATAATTTTTTTTTTCAATGCTTTGAATCAAATAATTTACTTTTCATTTTCGAAAAAAACTTTCTTACATTTATGTAAATATCAGTTTACTAACATACTATTATTAGTTTTTGGTTAATTTCTTTCTGTTTTATTTTATTTGTTCTTGTCGATTTTTATTTAGATTAGGAGAAATTTACTAGTTTTAACATTTTTTTTATATTAAAACTAGATTGGCATATATGTAAATAAGAATAGACTCTAGAATTGGATGTCTTGACGGTCAAAAATTGGCCTAAAAAAAATTCAATATTATCAAATGGAATGGAGTCTTTGCTACAAAATCAAATATTCTAATGCATATATCTTTGCAACCAGATGGTATACACCTTTGACATTTCAAACTTAAATTATGATTTACAGAATTTTTAGAAATATCTAAACATATAGTTGCTCAGATATAGGGATAAGATAAACAGAGTTTGTGACAAAGACTCAATCGCATTGTAAAACTTTTGGCATTACAATGTAAAGGGAACGGGATTTGAGTCTTTGCAACAAACTTACATTTTCTTTTCCATTTATCTTTGTAATTTGAAGAAGTAAACCTTTGAAATTTCAAACTTAAATTTCTAAATCTAACAGAAATATTAGTTTGAAATATTCAAGGTCTACAACTTAAGATCGGGTTGCAAAGATATATAGGAATAAGAAAAGACTCAATTCTAGAAATGTGGAGGAAAAAAATAAGGATATTCCTTTACGTTTTTAATCTTTTTTTTCAATCAATTTTGACACATTTATGAAAGTAAACATTTAGTGAGAAATCTTGTGGTAGGAGACATTTTTTAATATATGAGTCGTTTTGTAACAGGAAACATTTTGCAGAGGAAACATTTTGTAGAGGAAACATTTTGCAGAGGAAACATTTTGTAGAGGAAATGTTTTGTAGAGGAAAAATTTTGCAGAGGAAACATTTTGCAGAGGAAACATTTTGTAGAGGTAACATTTTGTAGAGGAAAAAATTTATAGAGGAAACATTTTGTAGAGGAAACATTTTAGAGAGGAAACATTTTGTAGAGGAAACGTTTTACAGACGAAACATTTTGTAGAGGAAATGTTTTGTAGAGGAAATGTTTTGTAGCCAGAAACATATTTTGTCAGGAGTCATTTTGTGAAGGATATTTTTTGTGTGGAAACATTTGGAAAGTACTTCTCTTTGAGTATTAAATCATCCAGAATTTCATGGAATAAAGTGTCTATGAGTACTGCATTTTTAACCAAGTTATTTTGACAAGTAAATAAGAATATAAGGCATGTATTGAAGTTAAAAGTTCCTTTGATAATTATAAGAACAAGTTACTTACTTGAGATCAAATAGTTCTTCAAGCTGTGCTTTTCTCTCTTGAACCAGGCTAATCAGCTGACGTTCTATTTTCATCACGTGTTTTCGCAGAGGTCTACAATAAATTTCATATATCTATTGAACCAGGCTAGTCAGCTGACGTTCTATTTTACCTTAAATTTGTCTACCAGAATACTTGGCTCCGGTGACTGTTGCTCCAGAGATGAAGATTTGCTTACAAAAAAAGTTTCATCAGATTCCTCCTCACACACTCCAGAAAACTAAATTTTAAATCTGTTATATTTCTGCACTGTATTTCTACATCCCAAAAGAAAAACAAACATACACACAAACAGACAACCAGGGATATACAACTTTATATATCAATAACCAATCTTCATAAACATGTTCTAGACTTATTTTAAGAAGATAAAAATTTATATATAGATAATATTAGAAGATAGATGGTACCTAGAGTATCAAGTACAATAGGTGGCAACAGAGAAATGGTTAAATTGTACAAGACGTCACAAGTGTCAAATATATCATGGAAAACGAAATTTTCTCCCATTAATTGAAATGTTTTCCAAGATAAAATAAAAAAGTGTAAAAACAGAAAATAAAGAACACATAAATTGCACTATTTTACTGTAAGATAAGCACTTTCTTTCTTCTAAAAGCATCACTATTATTTACAATTTTGTCGAACAAAAAAAACTAAGTTTATACTTGTGACGTAAGAATACGGCTGAACTGAGAGTGTAAAAATTCTACGTTGCCATAATTTTGTACTAGAATCTTTTTGACTGTACCTGCTCCGTGCTAATTTTGCTCTGTAAATGTTGAATCTTCTCTACAAGCATATCATTCTCTTTCCGAGCCTCGACACTCTTCTCCTTTAGTTGAGCATACTGATTCCTCAGTTTTAACATCTGAATAAAAATATTCTTAAAAGAACGTGTAATATCAGTATTTAAATAAATATAGTCTTAATGGGACTGTACGCGTAATTTTAACATCTGAATAAATACAGTCTTAAAGGGACTGTACGCGTAATTTTAGTATCTAAATAAATATAGTCTTAAAGGGACTGTACGCTTAATTTCAGCATCTAAATAAATATAGTCTTATAGGGACTGTACGAGTAATTTCAGCATCTGAATAAATATAGTCTTAAATGGACTGTACGAGTAATTTCAACATCTAAATAAATACAGTCTTAAAGGGACTGTACGCGTAATTTTAACATCTGAATAAATATAGTCTTAAAGGGACTGTACGCGTAATTTCAGCATCTAAATAAATATAGTCTTAAAGGGACTGTACGCGTAATTTCAGCATCTAAATAAATATAGTCTGATACTGTACGAGTAATTTCAGCATCTGAATAAATAAAGTCTTAAAAGGACTGTACGAGTAATTTCAACATCTAGATAAATATAGTCTTAAAGGGACTGTACGCTACGCGTAATTTCAACATCTGAATAAATATAGCCTTAAAATAACTCCGTATGAGTAATTTCAACATCTGAATAACTGTAGCCTTAAAAGAACTCCGTATGAGTAATTTCAGCATCTGAATAAATATAGCCTCAAAAGAACTCCGTATGAGTAATTTCAACATCTGAATAAATATAGCCTCAAAAGAACTCCGTATGAGTAATTTCAACATCTGAATAAATATAATAGTCCCTTCCTGGGAAAAGTAGGGGTGCCAGCAGAGAGAGAATACACATTCTAGCCCTTTAATTTTTATATCAAAGAATAGATTCAAGAATATATAAACCATGTATATGTATTATAAGTTATAAGTTACATATATATATCTTCTATGTAACTGAAGGTACACCTTGTATCTATGGCAAGCTTGAAATATTAATGTTGACATCAAAGTCAGAGAATTCCCAAGATCAAAGTTATAAAAGATCAAATTTTATAAATTTATTCAACTCAAACCCATTTCTCAATCCGGTCCTAAACAATCTCTAAACTTTCAAAGTTTTGTAAATGCAATATCTTAGATGCACCTTGAACCCCTGAATACACAGTTCATTTGTTGTTGCTTTGACTTTTTAAAAATTGTTTAATTAAATTAATTTAATTATATTTAGGACTCGACCTAATAACCGTTTAAAAATTCAGATTTTCAATAAGATTTTGTCAAACTTAAGTACATTGCATGTAAGATTGAATTAAGATATATTTAAACTATAAATCCTCTTATTGAACATCTATAGAGAATAAATATTATGGATTTCAAGTATATATCCACACACCATTAGTAAAAGTAAATTCAACCTAACTTGACAAAGTTTGTTGCACCAGCTAGTCCTATAGAGTTTCTGCTTTATCGACCCAATGTCCGGGCGATACAGTACAAACTTGGACCGGAAAGGGTGACCCAGCTCGGAAATTCAAATGTACTACGGCTGCCGTGAACTAGAGGAGCTGAGAGGTCACACAGTTGTACCAGTAATGCGGCAAACATTTGTCCTTCTGTCTAGTTCAGTGTAAGTTATATTTGCTTATTTTTAACGGGTTTAAACGTTTCTGAACTCACAGCAGATATCAAGAACATTTTCGCATTGGAAGACGACTTTTAGAATCAAGCTTTGACTCTAAATGCACGTGAGACACAGTAATTGTGCAGTGTAAACAGACCCATTTCACCGAATAATTGATTTAATAAGTCACAAGTGAAACCATTTGCTTTGTAAAAACATGAAAAACATAACATTTTTACTTAATGTCGTCTCTCCTATTCCACAATTTTCTGATTCTTACTGTATAAAGCTAATTAATTTAACCAGATGAATTATTGATTATTTGCATTAAAAAATTCATTGTCACAAAAACGTATATGGCTGAATGAGTAAAAACGGAAAATGTAAATTTTCTTTTTCAAATTTTTTCAATTTAAAATTTGTTAAAGATTACCTTATCTGTCTCTTTGTTATTCTTTAAATCCAGAATTATCAGGTTTAGATGATCGATTTCAGTCTAAAAACAGCTTTGATAAAAGATATGCACAAAAAAACAATATTATTGGAATTACGAATTTATAGTTATGTTTTTTCTTTTTTGAATTTTTGTCCCCAAGGAGGATGAGATGGGGGTAGGTAGGCGCTTAAAGTGCTTGTATGCTGTACATTAGATTGAAACAACAATGAATGGCATAAAGAATGTTTTTTAATTTTTTAATTTATAGATTATTAAAAGCAATGGAAGACAAAAAAAGAAAAAAAGAATTAATCACATTTTAAAAAATCAAAGACAATAAAACCAATAAAAAACAATAAAAGACAATTTCAAATGAAATAAAGAAAATTAGACTATGTAAATATGACAATGCCGGATTTACGACAATACCCTTGATTCCTTAATATGACAAAAAATGTGGAAGATTGTCGTTTTCCTGACTTAAAAAGTCTTATATCTGTGAGTTTTTCTAGTGCTTCATATAAGCAAGAAATGCGCAAGTCTCTCTCGCAGAGAAACCGCAAATGGAAATTTAAAACAAAAATATGTATATGATATTCATCCTTATTCAGAAAAAGTTTTTAACGGTACCATTGTAAATCGGCCATTGTCATCTATGCATAAAGTGTAACTTTAAATTACGTTTACAGTCCCTTTAAAATTACTTTATACTGTACTGTACCTGATGCTGATTGGTCTCGTCTAGCAGTGTGTTCAGTTTTCCTGCAAAAATATAGATTAAAGGAATTGTTTACTCGAATTAAAATTTTAAAAATAAATTTTTTACAACCGATTTTTAAAAATCGCAAAATTGCAAACAAATTTACTATCAAAAAGTTGTATAAAAAAGGTAATTGTCGTTTTTTTTTGCTTAAAATACTAAAAATAAAAATGATTAAAATATTTTAAAAAATATGATTTTTACCTACTAAGTAAGAAACATCTGCCATCGTCATTTCAGTGATTGTTCCCTTGGCTAGAGCCTCTCCAGTATCCATGATCAGTGTGCTGGTCCGTGAAATCAGTTCATGTTTACAGTTATCATTGTCATGTTCATCGTCCGATTTAGCATCAGCTATAGCTTCATCAATAGTTTCTACAGATGCTTCAGAAGTATCATTTAGGACTTCAGGAACATCAGCCATTGCTTTAGCAGATTCAGAAGTTTCATTCAGTACTTTGGCAGTACCAAGAGACGCTTCAGCAGTCTCTACTGACGCTTCAATAGTGTCAAATAAAACTTTAGAAGTCTGATCAACAATATCTTTATCTGATCTATTATTGGCCAAAGTTTCATTCCGCGTTTGGCTGTCAGAAGATTGAGATTTGAAATTTGAATCTAGTGAATCTTCTTCTGGCATTTTATCTTCTGATGCTTGGTTATTACCAGTGATATCTTCATTTGTTTCTAGAATTTCGCCACTGGATTCATTGGTTGGAAAAGCTGTAGTGAGCCGAAGGGAGGTCATACGGGCGAATATCGGATGAGCTGCTTCATGTTTGCTGTCATCATCTTTGCTGTCAGTATTTACTTGGTCAGGCAATGGTTTATTAAAATCAGACTCTGAATTGGAATCAAAATCTGAATCAGCACCTAGAGTGTCTGATGAGTTGTCCGATGGCGAAGATGAATCATAACTGTCTTCATCGTTGTCCGTCTAATCAATAATTCTATATTTTCACATTTTCACAAACAAAACACTTGGTTAGTTGTAAACAGTGTTACAGTGACACACATGGTCATTCATTCACACATATTTACATATGCATGCTTCTATCAGATTTATTGGATTTCAACGATCCTAGGCACTATTATATAGTCAGATATACGTTGCATAAACGGAAACATTGCTCTATAAAACAAGTGAGAAGGTTAAAGATAACTAACGGTGAACAACGCTCTGCATACAGAGCGTTTTTGTTTCTTTGATGCAAAGTCACTTGAACTATTACTAGGCAGTATATTGTAGAATAATGAATGCTAAAAAGCCATGGAAAGTTTATATATTTCTGGCCTTTAGAACTTGAGATAGGAAACTTTTTTCAGAGGTCAAGCACTTAAAGTTTGATTTTTGGAAGAAATCATAAAGCTTACACTCGCAATAACAACCAGTTCAAATGGCAGAATATTAATATTCTCACTAATAAAAAATGGCGGGAACACGAACCAATGAATGGCGGCCATTTTCTTGAAAATTGTCTTGTCCGGGCTTAAAAGAAGCTCTTGAAAAATCCTCCAACATTCCCAGTCACATTTTGGGCAACATTTGCCGCTTGTCCGGCCCCACCCAGCAGGGATGCCTGAATACATGCACACAATATAATACAGCGCTGTACAGTACAGTACAGTTAATTACAGTACATACACAGTAGGCTGGGTCAAACGTAAACGATGCCATGTAAAAAGAACAGCCACAGGTATAGGCTTTAAGAAATTTGACAATTTTTCTAATGTTGTCCAGAAAACCTTAACAAGTTGATGATGATGAATAAAAAATACAAATTTGTTTTTAAGACTAAAAAATTTTGCCTTGGTAAATTTTGTACAATCTGCTAAAAAAGCATTTTTGAAAGCTGTTCTTTTTAATTGTCATCGTCGTAGTACAATCCAACCTTATATGCAGTCTTATTAAACATCAGAATCGAGGAACAAAGCGTAAAGTCGTCTTTGGTGCATATTGTCCTAATTCTTAAAGATTTGTCGCATAATTATTTTTTAAAGTATTTTTCGGATTTTGAAATTTCTCTAATTTCAAGCGTTTTAAGTAAATTCAATCAAAAAAATTAAAAAGTGTAACTAAAATTTTCAATAAAATTTATAATTTAGAATTTACTGCAATACGATTTTCTAATTATAAAATCCTGTAAACAAAGGTTGAATTCTCAAAGAAACTTAGTTTTTTTCCACAAATTCTGATTTTCTATTCCTTTCGTAGACCTTAGATAATTCAAATTTTAAAACTCTTGTTATATCAAACAGTCTGAAATATCAAATGTATACACCATCAGGTTGCAGAGATATAGGGATAAAAAATTTGAATTTGTGGCAAAAACTCAATTCCTTAGCTGACATACATAGTTATGTTCAGTAAAAAACGGAAAATTTCAAGCAAAAATTTATTTTATACAAGAAAAAATCAAAAATCAACATTTTGATTTTCTTGTTGTACTTTTCTAATTAATGGCTTTTATTAGAGCAAAATATCAAATTGGAATATTTAATACGTCCAAAAATCTGTTCTCAAAGAATTATTCTTATAGGAAACTTTTCCAATTTTTCAAAATTAATTTTCCTAAAAAACAAAATAAGATATGTTCACAGTTTGTTATTTCAGCTTAATAGGATGACTGAGACAATATTTGTCTCCAGAGCTGGGAACTTTTGAATGGTGGATATCGAGATTATAATGATTGATCCACTCTTTTTCTTAATCTAGAGATTAAATAATGCAATTGTTCTCCTCATTTAGAAATTACAACCTATAGTCATCAATTATCTTTCGCCACATTTGTATATAGTTTATATTTTATAATATTTTATTTTTTTAGAAAACGTTTTTAACGGATTTCGAAAATTGTGAGTGGTGTGCGGCATTCTTAGTCTGCACTGCATCTAACATTTTTTGGAAAGTGTATTAGGAAATTTGGACATTTTTGGAAAATAGATAAATTTGAAAAAATGAAGTTTGAGTAATGCTTTTTTGGTAGTATCCAATATAACTTAGTTAACATTTATTTTTTTTAAACCAAGAATTTCAAGTTTTTGCAAGTAAATTTCTTGTTCGATCATATATTTTTTCTTTCAATATAAAAAAAGGAGACTCCGTGTTTAAAAGCATAGCATCTGAAAAGATAAAATAAATTGAATTAAAAAATGTTTAAAGTGGTCATTCAAGGGGGTTAAAGAAATATTGTCAAATTTGTTAATTATGTACATTTCGTGCAGATTCAAGTGGAGAATTATAACATCTTTAAAACACAAAAACGTGAAAAGTATTTTTTTATAAAAATGCATTTTTCCTTGTTCCAAAACGAAACAATATCTGACCAAAATCACACTTCAGAAAATTATTTCTTTGATTTATCAAAATTCCAAACAAAACAAAACAGTTTCATGTGTCAAGAATTGATCTGTTAAAGAAACTGTAGCGTAACTATAATATGCATTATGCAAAGATGGAAATGTCCGATTTGCAACGGTACCCTAGAAACCTTAATTTGATAAAATATGTGGAAGATTCTGTCGTTTGCTCAAAAAGTGTTTATTTCTTTGAGTTTCTCTATTGCTTCTTATAAATAAGAAATGCGCAAATAACTCTCGCAGAGAAACCGCAAATGAAAATAAGATAACATTATGATTAAATAATAACATATAGTTATCTAATTCATGCTTAATCAAACGAAGCTTTCAAGGGTACCGTTGTATACATTGTCACCTTTGCATGGAGAGTCAGTTGAAATTATGCTTACAGTCCCTTTGAGATGCAGGTTAATGGGAATAAACTGAAATGTCGGGGAGGACAAATTGTCAAATTTAATTTTAAATGTCTCATGCACAAAATCTTGTCTCAAATTATTTCTTTAAATTGTTGGGATGCATCTTTCTTTAAAAAAAAACTCAAAATGCAAGTCCTTTCTGCTCATTTGTCTAGGAGGGAAGGAAGGCAAGCCAGACCTTTGATATAACCAAGTCACAGTATTTAAACATTCGAGCCGCATAATTATTATTTCGTTTTTAAACCACTTTTCGTTAATGTTCGTTCTTATTATTTTGATGTTAATCTTTTACCGTAAATTTAAAATATCAACATAAGATGATAAGAAACTGAAGTTGCCAGTAAAGTAGTTAAAGTTAATATTAGTTTTATTAGATCAGTTTTTAATGTAATTTGATCATTCATAAGTGGACAAGAATAAAAATTACAAACATCTGACTCGAACGAAGAAAGTCAGGAGATTAAGGCTCGGATGCAAAACTGGAGCGGCTTGCTTTCCCCCCTCTATCAAGAGTTGAATATGAATCTACCTAATAGTCAGGGAAAATGAGCCTAGACCTAGAAAATACAACATTTTATCCTCCCCCTCAATCAACTTGGCCCTCAATAAAGATGGCAGTGCTGTACAACGGTTTGCCGATTCCATTAGCGCATGATCCAATCAGGGTTCAGTCATTTGTTTTGTGTATATTCTGATCCAATAGAAATTGCATGGCGGTAACATCTATCTCATTATCCAATTAAAGATGAATCCTTAAATCGGCGCTAAACAGTAAATGGAAGGTTTAACTTCTACTAAAACTATGGTGGATCAAATATGAATTGGATATCTGCGTTTAATTATTTCTTTAAACTGTTTTTTTTCTTTCTTTTGAAACGTTAATCTGATCAAAATTTGGTAGATATTGGTGTTTTCTTAGACTTAAAACATGTTTATTTATATTTCTCAATTACTTGTCATGAGCAAGATATGCGTAAGTCAACTAAAACTAAAACATGAGCTGGGAATTTTTGAATGGTGGATATCAGGATTAAGGCTTAATCCACTCTTTTTCTTAATCTCCAGATTAACATAATCTTGCAAGATTATCTTAAAAGTGTATGAAAAACGATAAAATTCAAATTAATATTTAATTATCTGAGAAACTGTAGCAGCCAATCAGAGAAAAGCGGGCAACCAATGAGAGAACAGAAATATTCTGATTGGAGAAAACAATTAACGGATATCCAAGGAGAGAGAAAAAGAGTGGATTAAGGACTAAAATGAAAAGTTTCCACAGTGGATATTCGGATCAAGAAGTCAGGATTAAAGTTTATCCATTCTAAAGTTTTTAGCTCTGGGAACTTTAGAATGGTGGATATCAGGATTAATGCCTAATCCTCTGTTTTTGCTAATCTCGAGATTATGTTAGTCTTCAGATTAAATATTTAGATCAACAAATTGGATTCTAAGAACGCCAGATTTGTTGGTTTTCTTGACTGAAAGGGTCCTCACTTTCACTTAATTTCTCACCCATTTATTTATTAATACATTAGTTAAAATTGGTTACAAAAGAATCTCAAACGTATTATTAAATATTTTTCTTTACCGATTAATTTACAAAATTTTTGATTTGTTAGAAATTGCGGATTTCTCTCATGGGATAGAATTTATTTACAAGGCTTTCATTGGTCAATACAATTTACGAACTATAATCTTGCACTCTAATTGGAGAAAATAATGTAAGGATATCCAAAGAGAGAGAAAAAGAGTGGATTAAGGACTAAAATTAAAAGTTTCCACAGTGAATATTCGGATTAAGAAGTTGGGATTAAAGGTTATCTATTCTAAAGTTCCCAGCTCTGAGCTGAAAACTTTAGAATCGGGGATATTAAGATCAATGCTTGATCTCCTCTTTTTGTTAATCTCCAGATTATCATAATCTTGATCCACCAAAATACTTTAAATTTGAGAGGATTAAGAAAATCATAAGTTTTCACATTGGATATTCAGATTAAGGGTATCCAATTCTAAAGTTTCCAGCTATGGATATCTATTTCATGTTTGATCAGAGATGGGAACTTTTGAATGTGATATCCTTAATCCCGATCTGTTAACTAATCTGGAGATCAAATTCATGAGGAAAACAAGCAATATTTAATATGGAGATTAAGAAAAAGAGTCGATCAAGCATTAATCCGGATATCCACCATTCTAAAGCACCATTGTAAATCGGACACTCCCATCTGTGTATTGAGGGTCACTTGAAATTTCGTTTTCAGTCCCTTTAATCAGTTTTAAAATAAAACGTCTAGATTATAAAAGATGGTTTTTATACGGTAGAGACTACATTTATTTATTAGTTTGAGATGCAAGCTGGGATTTAGTGTCAAATAAAATTTCTAAACATTACCCAGCGAAACATCAACATTTATTTGAACAACATTAAAAAAAAAATAAGTATTTAATCAAATTTAGAAGAATTCTAATTTTTCTCTCCATTACAGGGAAGCAAAAGGGATGTTATATATAAAGGAGGGAATATTACATTGCCAAGGCTAAGGAAAAGGTATTGGGAAACCTCGGGATTGTAATGTTCCCTATTTATTACATCCTTGTTAGCTCACGTGAATGAAGAGATATGTAATTTTTAAAACTTTAAAACAAATTTAAAGGATTTTTCCACTTCTAAACAAAATATAACAATTGAATTTAGAAAAAAAACAACCCTTTTCAGGCTATAAAAACTCTAATATCTTTTTAGCTTTGCGAAATATATTTTTGAGATCAGAATTAAAATCTAATTCATGTTTTCGGAGTTGTAAATCCGCAACTTCTTGCCAGTTGAAAATTCACAATCAATTAGATTGCAACCCTAGCGTTGCAATGTTAATATTAGGTATTCAATAGTGTCATAATTTTGTTCAAAAGTCGGAAAAAATATAATTCCATCTGCACAGTGCACGTGTAAAGTTTACTGTGTACAATAAACATAAATAGAAAAAGAATAGAACTCACCAATGGATCGTCTACAGGAGCTTGACCTCCAGCTGGTGCTGCACCCCCTCGACCTCGAGCAGCTGTTGCACCACCACGAGCAGCAGGAGCACCTCGGGCTGCAGGTGCACCACCTCCACGACCTGCTGGAGCACCAGCTGCTGGTGCACCTCCTGCAGGTGCACCACCTCCACGACCTGCAGGTGCACCTCGACCAGCCTGCGCTGCTCCTCTACCTGCTTGTGCTGCTCCCCTTCCACCTTGTGCTGCTCCTCTACCTGCTTGAGCACCTCCCCGGCCTCCTTGAGCAGGTGCAGATTGTCCTTGACCTCCAGCAGAAGGTTTGGGTTGACCTGCTGCAGCAGGCTGACCTGCTGCGGCAGGCTGACCTGCAGGTTTAGGTTGTCCAGCTCCTGGTGCTTGACCAGGTTTAGATTGTTGTCCAGCTGGTTTAGCTTGACCAGCGGGTGCAGCTTGCCCTGCAGGTTTAGGTTGACCTGCTGCAGCAGGTTTAGCTTGTTGACCGGCAGGGTTAGCCTGTTGGCCAGCTGGTTTAGCTTGACCTGTTGGTGCGGGCTGACCAGCGGGATTAAGCTGACCATTATTAGCCGGCTGGCTGGCCGGTTTAGCTTGAGATACAGGGGTCGGTTGAACAGCAGGTTTAGCTTGAACCGGCTGCTGTTGAGGAGCAGCTGCTGGTACAGGTTTAACTGCTTCCTGTTGAGCAGGTTTATTCTGAGCAGGTGGAACTGCTCCGTTAGCGGATTGTGTACTTGGCATAGTCTGCTGTGCCGGAGATCCATTTCCAGCGGAAACTGATCCGTTCTGGGCCTTCGCGGTCTCCGGTGTTGGTGTTGTTGGTGTTCCGGCTGAACCACCACGTCCTCTTCCTCTGCCTCTACCTCGACCACGACCTGTGTGTACAAAATTGTAATTTTTGTAGTTTGAAATATTCAGTTTTAGGAAAAATGTAATCCGACATAGTTCTGATGGCAAAGATTTGTCTGATAAGTAAATCCGGACTTTTGATGTTTCACATCGGCATGTCAGAGACTAACTGGTTGCAGAATTGAAAAATTGAATACCTCTGCCTCTTTCTGAAGGGGATCCAGGGGATTGCGGAGTTGTTGCATTGCTTAGTGCCGCCACTTCCGTCTCTTGTAGTTTACTGAACAAAATCAGGATATAATATAGAGACAAGGCCCACACAAGGGGGGGGGCAGGTCTTAAGGAAAAGGGATTGGGCTCCCCTTCCTGGAATGTCAAAAAATGGTAAGGAATACAAGTTACCGGATTTACGAATACAGGTTACAAATCAAATGGTACAGGATATTTAGAATTAGTATAAGCTGTAAACAAGGAAAATACTTCTTATATATTGAGTTACTTATCATTTATTAGTCAATTTTGTAGAAATAAGAGCAGTTAGAGAGACATCTTTCTCCTTTGAGCGTTAAAGGACAACTGGGGTTTTTCTCCGTATCTCCCTTTTCCCGAATTTTATTAATTTGACATTCCGGATTTGCAGTTTTACATCTCTTCAATATAATAAAACAAGACACTCGTATATATATTCCGAATGGGCTGACATTTTTTGAGGTAACCAATGGGTACCCTGGGGTTGTAAAAATATTCTAAAATTTTTATTTTTCAAAATTCTAATTTTTTCAAAAATTTTATTTTTTTAAAATCTAATTTTTTTTAAATCTAATTTTTTAAAAAAAAAATTTTTAATTCCACGCCCAGCGCCGGGCACTTCAGCTGGTTTAATAATAAATCTACAAAAATCCCTTCTTTTATATATTTTCCTTTAAGTTCTAGAATAATAAATATCTCTACAATACATGCTGAGCTTTTTAAACAAAGCAAAATTAAAAAATGTGTAAAAACTAGTTAGAACTTTTGTGTTTTTAATTTTCGGAAAAATTGATCTTGACATTTTTTCAAGCCTACAAATTATTCAATTTCTCTTTGATATCCCGTGGTGGTCATACTTTGCAGGCATTCAGCAATTATCCTATTATTTTAACAATACACAAAATTTCCGATTTCAAACTCTTAACCTTGCAGGTTGATAATCAGGTTGTTATTCAGGTTGATAATCAGGTTGATAATCAGGTTGATCATCAGGTTGTTAATCAGGTTGATAATCAGGTTGATAATCAGGGTGATAATCAGGTTGTTAATCAGGTTGATAATCAGGTTGATAATCAGGTTGATAATCAAATCAGGTTGATAATCAGGTTGATAATCAGGTTAATAACCAGGTTGATAATACAGTGCACGTGAAGTTTCATACAATTCGACCATAAAATGGTTAAAATCTTTCTTTTTATTATTCTAAACCTTAAGGCTTACAGATCAATTAATTAAAAAAAAAAATAATAGATTTATTAAAAAATCGGTTGCAATTATTCCTCGTTGATGATGATATTTTATTTCTCTTAAATTCAAAGCGACATCGAAAATTTGCGTAGGTCCGAGATTGAAAGAGAACTCTACTATTTTTCGTAATTTTGCACGTACCGAAAATATTTCAAAATTGCAAATATTCAGCTCAAAAATATAAATATGATATAAATATTTTTAAGATATTAATAACATGTTAATAAATTCGAGAAAAAACGTGCATAATTTGGTAATTTTTGTACTTCGATCTTTCGAAAATATGTTTATTTCAGCAATTCACGCACTCGACTGCTTTTTATTCGAACCAAAATGTTAGACAGAGATAAGAGAGTTACAGAGATCGAGTAACGCCTACAATATGCGATATTTTCCACAGCATGTTCTATTGTGTACAAGTACTGTACACGACCAATCAGGAGACATCTGTATTCGGGGATATTTATGGATCCTTTGAATTGGAAATGCAAAATCTTTAAAAATATTCATAAACGTTATGTTTTATGTTTAAAATTGGAGTATTTCTTTAAAAGTTGTAAAACTTAACCCTTGAATGCAACAAGTGGCCGTTAGATGTCAGTCAAAAAACATTACATGGAACCGGAGCATGGCGTGCCGGGACACTATAGGCCTGCTCAGCCTATCCAGGTAGAGTGTATGAGTAGTCTGTGATGTTAGATAGTGCATTGAAAACATTGTTCACTTGCTAAGCATGCTTGTCTGTTATAAAATAATAGAATTGCTAATGTCATCAGAACGAAAAATCTACCCAAATATTTGTTCTATGTTGTTTAAAAATCTGTCTTAAAAAAGCTGCAAAAAATGTTTCTGATAAATTGTAGAAGACAATTTTCGCAAAACTTAAATTTTTGTAATGCTATAAATTATAATGAGACATGAATGAGATATCATTAGGAGAAAGTTCACGCACAATTTAACCTTTAGCAATGCTTTAAGAAGACATAATAAGATGTATCATGTATTTAATCAATAAGTCAAATAAAATCTACTTGTTTCCGATAACTCGAGAGTTTAATTTCATATTAGAAAAAAAAGCTGCAAATTGTGTCTGAACTACTACAAGCTAATGTTAGGAAAAAGAATACAATTTTGAATAAATTGAATTTAATAAATTCTATGCTAAGAAAATACATGCAGTACCAACTTACTTTTTCATCAAGTCTTGTGCTCTAAAATAGATAATTATAAGGTTCTAAAGAGGGCAACATTTTTTGGCCACGGATACAAGTTATTGCAGTATTTTAATACCGAATATATGTTTTCCTTTTAAAGAATAAAAACCTAAACTCTTTGCGATCTAATCCTTACATCTTTGCAACCTAATGGTGTAAACCTTAAAAATATAAAACTAAGCATTCTGATTGATCAACTAGCCAAAGTTCTTAGGTTTACGCGGTCAGGTTGCAAAGATATACGGATAGGAAAATGAGAGTTCAAGAATTGTGATCAGGGTCAAAAGCTCAATTAAGTTGAACTTTTTATACTCAATCCAACCAATTCTCTTAAGCTTAAACCGGTTTCTTAAAAGAGTGGTTCGACCAAGGTTATAATGCAAGGAAAGTTATTTCAGAGGTGTGCGCTGCTTTTGTACTTCAGTGTACTTTTGTACTCTGGGCGGTAATGTAAACACAAGACGGATGTCGAAGTCTGACATGGGATCCATCTTTCGCATAAAAAAAGCAACGAAATATTCTGGTCATAGGCAATTAATAATTCATAGTTCAAAAAAATTCTTATAGTTACCCGGAACAACTTTAAAGGTTATAGGAAACTATTATGTGAATTATCAAAATTATCAAAATGTAATGCTTTTAACCTCCTCGGATACTAAACGAACCTTGATGTATCTATTCTTGTTTACAAATTCCGCCCAGAGAGAACTGGTTTTAATATGTACGTAGAGTATACCCAACTGCAATCAACTTTCCTTGCATTACAACCTTAGGTTCGACTATTTCTGCAAAGTTCTATTTATTAAACTTCGTCCCAAGTTTTACACCTGTGTTTCTTTGTTAAATAAACAGTAAATAAAACAAAGAAAACTCTTGATCATTTGATGTACTTTCTGAATTGTCAGGCAACTATGGCAAAATGTGCACAAAATCCATCAAAGCCAATACACGCTTATGCGGGACGGTATGCCAAATGAAATCTCTCAATCTTAGACTGTACATGTAATATCAAGAGACCCTCTCACTTGCAGCCGTAGTGCATTTGAAATTCCGAGCCGGGTCAGCTTTTCCGGTCCCAGTTTGTACTGTACCATCTCTATGGACAGGACTAGCCGGTGCAACAAGGTTGACGCGGTCAGACTTTATGCTTCATATAGATTGAATTTACTTTTTCTAAAGGGGCAGAGGTGCATGCTCTACGCAAAGATGCCAATTTTTCTTAAAACCTTAATCTGATAAATAATGTTGAAGAAACAGTCGTTTCCCGGACTTTACCGTTATAAATTGGACCTTGCCATCTTTGCATGGAGGGTCACTTGAAATTACGCTTACAGTCCCATAAATGCTATATCTACTTACTCTTGCAGTTCTCTTATCAGTTTGTTTTGTTGTTCTGTTTTCTCAGCAGTCTTGGCTAGCTCGGCATCTCGGTTCGCCAGCTCTGCTGCCCGGGCAGCCAGTTCAGCATCACGGGCGGTCATTTCAGCTTCTCGGGCAGATACTTCGGCACGAACCTTATTCACCTCGTCCTGTAGATAGATAGATTAAGAGATAGAACAATGTAAAGATAAATAAATAGAGAGATAGCTTCAAGTTAGAGAGATAGATAGAATATTCCCTGAATATGTTTAAACAAAATTTAGAGTTTTTGTTTCAACTGGAGCTAAGAGGGTTAGATTTAGAACTAATCTAGAAAGATATATACAAAAAATAGATAGTTAGATATATGGATTTATGGATAAATATATAGATAGATAGATAGATAGAGAAAAAGAAAGATAGATAGATAGATAGATATAGAGATGGGTAGATCGTCAGATCAAAAGAAATGATAGACAGAAATATAGAAAGATAAATAGATAGATTACCTGCATTTGCTGCTCCAACTGTTGAACTAAGAGCTGCTTCTCATCAAGCTGCTTCTTTAATGTTTCCACCTTCTTCTTGTATTCATCAATCTAAACAGCAAGAGACTGGAACTTTGAACAATGCAAGATAATGAAACTAGGTTTCGAGACTGGAACTTTGAACAATGCAAGATTATGAAACTAGGTTTAGAGACTGGAACTTTGAACAATGCAAAATTATGAAACTAGGTTTGGAGGCTGAAACTTTGGAAAGTGCAAGATTATAAAACTAGGTTTAGAGACTGGAAATTTAGAGAAAACAAGATTATGAAACTAGGTTTAGAGACTGGAACTTTAGAGTAAACAAGATCATGAAACTAGGTTTAGACTGAAAATGTTTTTAACCTGGGACAGCAAAGGACTTGAGAGTATGTATCCTGCACTTCTTAACCTGTTTTCTGTTTTCTTCTAGCTGTTTCTTGAGAACAGTTGTGTTGCTGTTCCTTTATCTGTTTTCTGATTTATCTAGCTGTTTCTTTAGCTGTATTCTAACTTCTGCTAACTGTTTCTTTATCTTTTTCCTGTTTTCTGTTAGCTGTTTCTTTACCTGTTACCTGCTTTGTGCTAGCTGTTTCTTTACCTGTTTTCTGTTTTCTTCCAGCTGTTTCTTGAGAGTATTAATCTCCTGATTCTGTTGGCCTGGACTGCCTACAGGTCTGTTTATACTTGCTTCCTGTAAATCCATCTAAACATTTCATGTTAATCACCGAATTTTTTGTAATGTTTAAATGTACAGTTTAATAACACTCAATTGATTTTTTGGGACTTCAGATATTATTTAATTTACAGAACGTGTATTACAGGTAGCAACTTTAGCTGTTGACTGCGTGTTCCTCAAGCTGCCATGTTTCTTTGTAACTGATAATTCGCGGATGTCTCTTTTTAAATTTGCGCATTTTCAAATGTAAAACAAATCAGTTCAGTCAAACAATATTTACAGATTATTAGATAAAATAAAAGTCGAGTAGATATAACTTTCATTTGATCAGTAGTTACTCTATTTAATTCCAATATCTTATCTTATCCATATTCACCCCCCCCCCCTCTAATAGTTCATAAACGTTGAAGATATACACCCTCATCTCTCGATCAGTCCATTAAGACCTCCCCTTCCCAGCTCATATAATATTAATTGTTAACCAAGAAAAATCATTATGTATACATACTCTTGCTTACATTCATACATACATAATACACTTAACACTATTATAAATTGCACTAATTTTTGCTTTTTCATCTTTAACCACCCCCCCCCCCCTCCACTTTTTGAAGAAAATTCGTTTAAAGTTTTTAATAATCGTTTAACGGAAAAAACTCATAAATTTGGAGACTAAGAAAATAATTTTTATTTATTAATTAATAACAAAAAGTTACTTGATCGTTATAAGAAATTAAAACATTTTGTTCTGCTCTATATAGCTTTTCAAAGAGGAGTTTTAATTGAAACCCAATAAGATAACGACCTTATACACAAATTTGCTTGAGTTTAGCGTGAGTATGAAATTCGCTGTGATAAGATTTATAAAGCTTAACCTTGCTTTAATATTCACTCCCTCTTAGAAGAGATGAGCAGTGTTTTTTTAACGAACGTAATTTTTTTATGAATTATTGCGTCGTTTTGAATAAAAACGAACAATGAAAGAACAACTCGGATCGATCAGAGAAAAAAATCATTTTAAAATTATAAAAAATTTTAATAACTACTTTCATTGAAAATCTCATTGAGAAAATAAAAATTCTCCTCTCATACTTGTGCATAAAATAAAATTTAGAGGAGTTACGAGGTCACAAAGTCTCCTTCTGTCTAGTTTGTAGTTTGATTCACCTGTTTCTTCTCTAGCTCCTGAACCAGCATCTCTAGCTGGGCCTGGAACCTTTCTCTCTCAACTGCTCCCTCAGCAACCTCCTTCTGGGCCTTCTCAAGGTCAACCTTCATCTACAACAACAAGGGTTTAATCAACCTTTATCTACAACAACAAGGGTTTAATCAACCTTCATCTACAACAACAAGGGTTTAATCAACCTTCATCTACAACAACAAGAGTTAAATCAACCTTCATCTGCAACAACAAGGGTTTAATCAACCTTCATCTGCAACAACAAGGGTTTAACAACCTTCAGCTACAACAACAAGGGTTAAATCAACCTTTATCTACAACAACAAGGGTTAAATCAACCTTCATCTACAACAACAAGGGTTTAATCAACCTGCATCTACAACAAAAAGGGTTAAATCAACCTTTATCTACAATAGCAAGGGTTAAATCAACCTTCATCTACACAACAAGGGTTTGCTCAACCTTCATCTAAAACAACAAGGGTTTAATCAACCTTCATCTACAACAACAAGGGTTAAATCAACCTTCATCTACAACAACAAGGGTTTAATCAACCTTCATCTAAAACAACAAGGGTTTAATCAACCTTCATCTACAACAACAAGAGTTTAATCAACCTTCATCTACAACAACAAGGGTTTTATCAACCTTCATCTACAACAACAAGAGTTTAATCAACCTTCATCTACAACAACAAGGGTTTTATCAACCTTCATCTACAACAACAAGAGTTTAATCAACCTTCATCTACAACAACAAGGGTTTTATCAACCTTCATCTACAACAACAACGGTTTAATCAACTTTCATCTGTAACAACAAGGGTTTAATCAACCTTCATCTACAACAACATGGGTTTAATCAACCTTTATCTACAACACCAAGGGTTTAATCAACCTTCATCTACAACAACAACGGTTTTATCAACCTTCCGTTCCAAAAACAACCAAGCTGAGCTTGGGATTTTCTTAAATCCTACACTCCACTCTGAAAGTTGCATTATTTGAGCCAGTACCCGGTTACAACATATACTGTATATATTCAGTTGAATTGCCCAATAACGGACTGGGTCGTCTTTATACACTTAGTAGTCCAGATTGCTACTCTACACTTAGTACAGTGATAAACAATAAACTCTGAAATAGAAAGACGACTTTTAAGCAATAGTTAGTGTATTTGTTGAGGTTACAAAGCAAATAGTTTTACTAGACACATTTTACTAAACACATTTTTATTAAGTAAAATGGGTCTGTTTAAAATGCACATTTGCGGTGTCCCACGCTCATTGGACTATCTAAACTCATTAATGAAGTCTAAAAGTCGTCTTCCTATTTCAGAGTTTTCTGGTTATCACTGTACTAGGTGTAAAGTCGATGCAGCCCGTTTTATGCAACAAATATAGCCACATTGGGCCCCTAGAACGGAACAAGAGGAATGGAACCGTTCTTTGACCAAGAACGGAACGAGATGACTGTTCTTCTGCCCAGAACGGACCGGAACAAGAACAGAACGATTGAAAAAAAAGGAACAAGAACGGAACAATCTAGCTGAAGGCCCTCGTTCTAGAACGGTACGGAACGATTTTTAAAAAGTCGGAATGTGCCCAGCCCTATGTTAGATCATTAACCATAGGTTTTGTCAATTGATTTGCTGGTTTTTGAATTAACTACTCGAAACCCAACTCACAAGATCACAACAAAATTCCTGTTCATTGGACTGTTACAAAAACAGAACTTGAGTTTTCATATTCCTCAGTTTTCTGGGAAGCTCTGTATGAGGTTTCAAAAAAACGACCTCACCTTTGAAATCTGCGCATTAGATGCATCAGTTCCTCCCTTTCTCATCTCTTCTATAACCTGAACCAAACAAATAATTAAAATTTAAAAAAATTTAACTTTAAAAACTAATTTTCAATTATATAAATTACAAAAAAATGCATATTGTTACAGAAATAATCATGTTTTGATTTCCTTTAAGTTAGTCACATAAAATTAACAACCAAATGTATAAACTAAATCAACTATCCAATTCCTGCAAAATAATGTCTTCCAAATAACCTAATTCATAAAAATAATTAAATTATTTTTGAAAATCATAAAAAAATAGTTCTGTTTTAAATTAAGCTTATAAAAATAAGATCATTTCTGATAATTTATTTCTTATTCCGATTCACGGCCCAACCCAAATCCAGAAGTGTGTATTTCTGCAGAAAATACCTTTTCTAAATCCTGCTTCTCCTGCTGGAACTCACGCTGCTTATCCGAGATCTCATTCTTATAGATCCTAAGCTGACCGTTCAGCTCACTAGATAGATAGATAGATAGATAGATTCAAAAATAGATTGATAGACAGATAGATCGATAGATAGATCAATAGATAGATCAATAGATAGATCAAAAGATAGATCAATTGATAGATCCATAGATGATACCAGTACACAGTCGGACCCACAAATGTGTAATGTTATAAAGGTAGGACAGTACAATCATTGGACTTACGAATTTTGGACTGGTACAAACGTTAGACAAATATATTGACAATTATACAGATACTAGAAATTCAAGGCGCTTCGCGCCCATCTCCTAAATTAATTGTGAACATGTTCTCTTTGTGTACATCGTAAAACAAAACAAAAATAATTCGAGGATTTTCACAAAAAATTTCGCGGATTTTCAAAATTTTAAAAAATTTAATGACGATCGAATTTTGATGGAGACAAATATTTGAAATTTTGATGATTCATAAACCTTCCCTGGAGTCCCTAGATGTCCCACAAAAAATTTGGGCCCGATCGGTTCAGCCGTTTTGACGTTTATTGGATACAAACAGACAGACACCCAGACAAGCCAAATTTAAATACAGATATTGACAGTTAGACAGATATATTGACAGTTTAGAAAGCAGTCTGTACCTAATTTGTTGCTGAAGCTGTGAACTGTTAGCTGAGCTGTTAGCAGCATTATTCTTGTTTTCATTCAGCTGTTTCAACAGCTGCTCCTTTTCCTGAAATCATCGGCAAATATAGAATATTTATATCTTCTTACCTAGAAGTATTTTCTTTACAAATATCCCCCCACCTTTTTTAAAACCATTTCCCCCCAGAAGTTAGGTGTGGTTTTATTCGCTGATTTGAGGAAAATTAATGATTTTTAAGGGGAATTTGAATACATCTTTTAATAAATTCTAAAAAACAGGATTAAAACGGGGGAGGGGTGTAGATTTAAAAAAAATCACCTCTCCTTAAGAAATTTAAGGCGGGAATATGACAAATTTGACATCTACTGGCAAGGTTTTTCTTCAACTTTGAAATGCATAAACTAATAGGGGGGGGGGGGGGGGGGGGGGTTTTTTTTAAAAAAAAATTTTTCTTGGATAGGATGGATTTTTTCCCAACCCTTCTTGGGTTGGTGAATAAGTCATCCATTTAAAATTTTACCTTCTCGACCGCTTCTTTTTCAAACTTGAGTTTATCAATGTCCCTCTCTAGATCTTGAACCCTGCCGGTTAATTTACGGATTTCATTATCCTGTATAGGTAGAAAATGTCGTCTTTGCATAAAAACAGCTAATCAGAAAACTTAGGGGAAAAAAGAAGACTCAATTTTTTGTTTTGAGAATCCATTGAAAATAAGACATTGCAATTGTGCAGATTAATAAATCCTATTTCACTTAATGGATGATTTAATAACTTTCTATTAAAACTATTTGCTTTTTATCCACATCAAATATGTTGCTTTCATGTTATATTCCTATTCTACAGTTTTCTGGTTGTAGCCGTATCTTTAATTCACACTTAAGAATTAAATATGATGCTGCCGGAGATTTGATTGTTAAGAAAGTAGTGACCATGGGTACTTTTGTATACTTGTTAACAATTAAGAAACTTTCAAATATTTTCAATTCATATCTGTTGAAAGAATTTGTTCTAAAATGTTATAATTCCATGAATTCGGGAGAAAATGAAAGATATTAACAAGTTCTTTAAAAATTTAAATCACACAAATCCTTTTAAATAAAATTTTGAAATTTTCTCCATTCCTTGCTCTCCATGACCTCCCTCTGTCCCTTCTCCATCCCATCGCTCATGCTGGCCTTCTCCCTGGACATCCTGGAGACCTCCTCCTTGCAGCCGGCCAACTCACGCTCTAGTCGAGCCAGGTCATGTTTACTAAAATAACAGGTTTTTCATATAAAGAAAACAATAGAAATTGTACGTTGGATGTTCATTGTATGATGCATTCAACGATTTTTAAAGAATTTCAGCGACTTACACTTTATAACTTTTAACTAGAGTTACCCACTAAGCTTGAGACTGTAAAGACGACCTAAAACTATTAAAATATGATAATCTGAAGCTTGATTTTTCTTGAGTATTTTAATGGTTTACTAAATGATTTAATAAATAAGCCAGTGTTGGCCTCTAAGGAACCCTGAGTGTAAGAGAAGAGACCAAGCCAAATTCCCTACAGTCGTCTCTGAAGTGTCATCCTTTGTGGGTCACCCTGTAATTTGTGAAAAACGATGCTTGAATCTATAAATGCTATGGTCTTAGCCTCCTATTTTAGGAAACACATAAATATCAGCATCATTTTGTCATGAATGTTTGGTTTCATTCTCATCAAAACTCCAGGATTTTCTAAAATTTCTTTTAAATTTTTAGTTAAAATTAGTTAAAAAAATAGTAAGAAATTTCAAAATATTAAAATCTTAATACACGTTAATTTTAATACCTTATATCTAACTCTGTTTTGGACAGGTCTCGTTCCTTGGTCAATCTGGATATCTCCTAAATTATTATAAATATTATTATTATTATTATTATTATTATTATTATTATTATTATTATTATTATTATTATTATTATTATTATTATTATTATTATTATTATTACTAGTATTATAATTATTGTTATTGATTTAAATGTCTAAGTTTAAAATATGAAATATTTGCATTTGTTTGCAAAGGTATTATGTTAAGAAAACTGAAGTTGTAAACTTGAAATTAAAATTTTATATTTTTTATTATAAATATTGCAAGATCTAAGTGTAAGTTCCAAATATGAAAGGTTTGAAATATATAATTGCAAAGAAATAGAGTAAAGAGAGTTTCAGATGCATACCCTAGACAGAAGGAGAAGGGACACTTTATGCAATATTTATGCATTATTTATGCAATATTTATGCAATATTTATGCAATATTTATGCAATATTTATGCAATACTTATGCAATATTTATGCAATAATAATGCAATATTGATGCAATATTTATGCAATACTTATGCAATATTAATGCAATATTTATGCAATATTAATGCAATATTCATGCAATATTTATGCAAAAATTTTGCAATATTTATGCAATATTTATGCAATATTAATGCAATATTTAAGCAATATTTATGCAATATTTATGCAATATTTATGCAATATTTATGACTCTAGTTCTAGCTCTAATTCCTCTAGTTTTGATTTTATGCAAGTATTAGAAGAACAAACTGATTTGTTTACATATTTAGAATTGTCCATATTTAGTTCTGACCTGATTAAACATAGCAATATCCTTGTTGAGGTTGGATGAGGTTGAGTCTGACATCTTGAGCGCATGTTTGAGGTCAGCCTCCAGCTGGTCCATCTTCGTCCTCCAGCTGGTTCTCTCAGAGTCTAGCTTATCCGACCTCATCTTCTCCTTATCCCTCATCTAGTTAGTTAGTTAGTTAGTTAGTTAATTAATTAGTTATTTTGTTAGTTAGTTAGTTAATTAGTTAGTTAATTAGTTAGTTAATTAGTTAGTTAATCAGTTAGTTAGTTAGTTAGTTGTCTAGTTAGTTAGTTAGTTATTTAGTTAATTAGTTAGTTAGTATGTTAGTTAGTTAGTTAGTTAGTTAGTTAGTTAGTTAGTTAGTTAGTTAGTTAGTTAGTTAGTAAGTTAGCTAGCTCAGTAAGAACCATAGCATTATTGAACAGTAAAACTATACTGTTAAAGTTGAGGTATGAATTAAAAAATCCAAATAAAATTAAACACATCGATTGTGCATTGCTCTAAGACCAATTTTACGCAATTAACTGATTGTAAAGATAATGATAAGACATTTATCTGAAAACCAACAACACTGAAAGATTGATGTCGTCTTCCTGTTTATCGTTTTTCATGAGTTTACCTGCGTTAGATTTTCTACTTCCACTTCAAGATTCTTGATTTTTTCATTCAATTTCTTGATTTGTTTCTCCCGACTCTCTAATACACCTCGGTCAGGGGTCAGGGTGGTTTCCTCCCTAAATATATCTTAAATAAATATTTTAAGTAGACGACATATCCTTTTCTATTTTTTAGTTTTGTGGGACGCACTGTACGATCTGAAAAAAAACATATGTTTCTAAATTTCATCCTTCAATTAATTTCTAAAAGAAAATTTAAAATCCTAGTTTTAAAAAAGTAAATGAACAATTTAAATTTTGTTTTCCCTGAATATTAAATACAATGGTGTAAACCATGAACCTCCATATCTTACTCCGTTGTAAGGTCGTCTTTGACCAAGATTTTCTCCGTTGGCCAAACCCAACATTTCCGAGCTCCGGCAGAATTTTAAACAACCTTCTCGTGCAGCGATCACGTTTTAAAACAGTAAAAGCTTTAAAATTTTTTGATTTGCAGTGAACAACAAATCTTTGTAACCAAACTTGGTGTCCTTGGGGTGTAGGAGATAAAGAAACTATTGAAAAAGTGCAAAAAAGGGCAGTTTCAATGGTTTCAGAACTCACTGGCTCATCGTATACTGAAAAACTAATAGAACTCAATTTACAATCCCTTGAAAATCGAAGACTTCACTATGATTTAATTGAAACCTATATAATTATTCATGGTGTTAATAATGTTAATAAATGTACTTGGTTTTCAATGTTAGCAGATACATCCAATAGGATTACAAGAATGTCAGAAAATCCTCTCTCACTTAGTGCCAAATTTTGTAAAACCGATATTCGTAAACATTTTTTTAGCCAAAGAGTTGTTTTTTACATGGAATGATTTACCCTGTGATATAAAAACTGCACCAACGTTAAATACTTTTAAATCCAGAAATTAAAAATATGTAAAAAATTTCTAATCTAGTTTATTTTATTGGGACAAAAAGAACCAAAAAAAGATTACTTTAAAAGAAAACAAAAAGGCCAAATAAGAAAAAAAATAATCTAAGAAAAAATTTTAAAAAAACATGTCGAAAAAAAATGTCAAGGGAGAGAAAAAATAAAAACTCTACCAAAAAAAAGAAATAAATGTCCCTTATTTTTAATCTTGATTCACTGGATATTCGTAATCATTGAATATAATATACTCTCTATATTAATGTGATATATACAAGCATATAAATATCATGACAATAATCGGAAATTTTCTTATATACTCCGCCAGAAGTTCTGAAAATAATCCTAACATAAACATAAACTGTCATTTATTTTTCAAAAGTTTAAATGTTTTATTCCTCATCATTAGAAACCTCCATTTAATCTACTTGCACTTACTAGTAAGATATTTAAAAACCCATTATTATTCATAACCATATATGTCAACGATTTATAAAAATATTTCATTATTTAAATGTAATTTTTTTAGGTTGGAAATATATCTGTATTGGAGTATTGTCGACTACGTTAGTAGAGAGAAATCGAATTTTGGTGAGCAGACTCCCCGGGACGATAACCTAGGCCCCGAACTCCCCGAGGAAAACCTCTTGATATTCATAGACGCCCAGGGATCAACCCTGTATGGGAAATCGCCCATTTGTTAAAGACCTTAGCTCCACAAATGGATTTTAACATTTTGAAAATTAAATACAAAGCACTGCAGTTTTCTATACAAATATTAGAATTGAGTCTTTGCAACAGACTTGAATTTTCAAATCAATATATCTTTGCAACCTGATGGTGTACATCTGTCATACTTTAAATTACGATGATTTGATCTTTACAGAATTCATAGTTTGAAATAAAAGATACACAGGTTGCAAGATATAGAAAATCAAAGTTTGCGGCAAAAATGTAATTCCTTTAAAAGACAACTCTCTCTCTGCATGAATAAACTAGATCACACACAACTAAGGAAATGGGGTCGGCACGGGCACATTTGAATTTCCGAGCCGGGCCAACTTTTCCAGTCCTAGATTGTACTGTATCGCCCGTACATCGGGTAAATAAAGCAGGCACTCAATAGGACTAGCCGGTGCAACAAGGTTGACACGGTGAGACTTTAGGTTGAATTTACGTTTACTAAAGGATGAGAGGTGCGTGTAGGTCAAATATGCTTGTGATATGCCGGGTTCTGTAAAAAGTCAGGCCGCGCCATCAAAGTTAAAACTGAGCCGGCCCAGGATGGGTCGGGCTGGTGCTTGCTGCGTGAATTTACCTTAATCTTCTATTCTCCTCATTTGCTCGTTTTAATTCTGATTCTGTTAGATTCAGATCTTGTTGGAAGGACAGCAACATATCCTAAACATTATTACTTACATTAACTTATTACATTACTTAACGTCCTCTGGGACAATTATGTAAAATAATAAATATTCAAGAAAAAATTCGCGCATTTTCTTCTCAAACGACGATAAAATTGTGAACTTCTACTTTTTCGGACAAATTAAAATGATACTCAACTACGGGTTCCTTCGACCAATTTTGTCTACAAAACAACAAAATTGGTTAAGGGAATCCTCGGTAAAGTAATTGGTGCGGAATTCATTGTTATTTTTATATTCATGATTCGCTGTTAACTTTTAACTTGTTCCTTTCTTTGCCAAATAATTTTCAAAAGACTAGATATAAGACAGAAGAGTTAATTAGACATAGTGATTGTGATATATACAAGCTTCTGGAAGTATTATTGGGTAACCCTGTATGTTATTAATTTTGCATTTTGTTCTGCATAGTTGCAATGAATTGCTTCTTTGAGTAAACATGAAAGTTGCCATAAAGTTGACATAAAGTTATTTTTATTTTAAAAAGCAAAAACGAAAGGCAATTAGAAGAGGATTTACAATTTTTAAAAACAGAAAACAAAGTTACTTTCCTCATGTTGTAGATCCGGCAGGCAACGCTTTATATATTGATTTAACGCGTAATTACTTCGGCAGTCACTTTAAAGGTTTAATCTATCTATCTAATTATACCTGACTCTTCTCCAGCTGTCTCACCAGCTGATCTCTTTCGTTAGTAAGTTGGGAGATTTCTACTTGAAGTTTATCTAGATCAGATTCTGTCGTCTTCGTCTTTGAACTAAATAATAGAATTAAATATTAGACAGTATGAAAGGGGGGTTATAAATATGGTTAAATAATTTGTTACACGACAAAACTTCATTGTAAGGTGATCGATTTTTTTTTAGATGTCATGTGCCCTAAAAACAAAAGTTGTTGCCGAATTTCAGGCTGATAGATCTAATAAGCGTGACCGCAATTGACATTTAGCATTTCAAAAACCCATAAAGGTCACTAATCAAAAAAAAATTAAACATTTTCATAATACATCGAAATTGGTAAAGCGTCTGGAGCAGGCTAATACTGTTTTTTGTTTTAATATTTTCAAAATTGTTTATATATGGTCAAATTTGTTTAATTATCAACAACTTAATACGATTTCACGATTTCTGAATTCAGTATTTCAAGACGAATCTTTGGTACCCAAATCGTTGTATTTTGAAGAAATTATTTTTTTCGCTTGCATTCGTGAATTATTCAACCTTAAATTTCATAAAAACCGGTTGGCAATTTCAACCTGCGAACAAATTGTCTTTTCTAAAAAATCGCATAGCAATAAAACTAGTTCATTTTCACGGAAAATCTCCAAAATGTCTGAAAACAATGCATGTATTTCCAATTATTACCTGTAATCTGTTGAATATTTATCCTTCTCTAACCTAAGATGTCTTAATTCAGCTTCATTTTGCTCTAGACGATCCTAAACATCATCAGTTTAAGGGACTGCTAGCTAAATGTTAACTGACCTTCTGTGCTAAGATCATAATGCCCGATTTGAAAACTGTGTCTGATCAGGTATGAATTAGATCTTAATGTTTAAACTTATTATTAAACACTTTTCAACCTTACATCTTCCAAATCATTGAGCAGATAAAGGTTGCAAGGGAACCGAATTGTAAACCAGGTATTGCTCAATTAATTTTGTGAAATGGGTCAGTATTCTTTGCACATTTCATGTTCATGTTCATTGGATTATTTAAAGTCATACATTGAGTCTGAAAGTCGTCTTCCTATTCCAATGTTTACTGGGTCCGACTGTATGTGTAAAAGATCTAAACAGATCTAAACATTTGCCGCATATCTCAAATTTTTTCATGGTTATGCCTTTGCGACCTTTTTTTTACAGATTGTTAATTCTACTAAAAAGAAATAGAAAAATTAAGAATAAAATTTTTAGATGAATTTTATCAATTTTTCTATCAATAACTGTTTTTGTTTTTTGTTCTCTGATATATTTTTGCTAATCTTTACGATTTGTTTTTTATTTATTTCATTAATAAATTGATTGATTGATTGATTATAATCACACTAACCTGAACTCTGGTTAATTCTCGTTTAGCCTGTTCTGCTTCTGATTTGCACTTAGCTTCGTTCTCGTATGCATTATCCAGAAGAGATCTTAATTAAAACATTATCTATTTATATATCTATATAAAGGAGTAATCTCTTTTTCTCTGTTTGATTGTTTGTTTGTCCGATCATCACATAGGAACCCCCTAAACCGATTTGCCTCGTATTTTGATTGGGAAATCAGGAAAGCCACGGTAATGTTTCTTAGCTTGGTTTTGAGATTCTAAGTTGAGTGGATCGACTTTTATCGGGAAATATAGTTAAAATCATAATTTACAAAAAAGCGCGGGTAATCGGTGGGATTAACTATGACTCCCCTGTGCATCGCTGGGTTCCCAAACTAGTGATGTTATAAAGTTGTAATCTCTGTTTGTTTTTATGTTTGTATATCAGGAACCCCTGGACTGATTTGTCTGGTTCCTAACTATACCTGGAGTGTTCTATCTGGTTCCTAACTATACCTGGAGTGTTCTAGGTGGTTTATAACTAAACCTGTAGTGTTCTAGCTGGTTCCTAATAATTATATCCAGAGTGATCTAGCTGGTTCCTAACTATACCTGGAGGTTCTAGCTGGTTCCTATCAATACCTGGAGTTTTCTAGCTGGTTCCTAATTATACCTGGAGTGTTCTAGCTGGTTCCTAATTATACCTGGATTGTTCTAGCTGGTTCCTAACAATACCTGGAGTGTTCTAGCTGGTTCCTAATTATACCTGGAGTATTCTAGCTGGTTCCTAATTTTAACTGGAGTGTTCTAGCTGGTTCCTAATTATATCTGGAGTGTTCTAGCTGGCTCCTAACTATACCTGGAGTGTTCTAGCTGGTTCCTAACAATACCTGGAGTTTTTTAGCTGGTTCCTAATTATACCTGGAGTATTCTAGCTGGTTCCTAACTATACCTGGAGTATTCTAGCTGGTTCTTAACTATACCTGGAGTGTTCAAGCTGGCTCCTAACTATACCTGGAGTGTTCTAGGTGGTTTATAACTATACCTGGAGTGTTCTAGCTGGTTTCTAATAATTATATCTGGAGTGCTCTAGCTGGTTCCTAACTATACCTTGAGTGTTCTAGCTGGTTCCTAATTATATCTGGAGTGCTCTAGCTGGTTCCTAACTATACCTGGAGTATTCTAGCTGGTTCTTAACTATACCTGGAGTGTTCTAGCTGGTTCCTAACTATACCTGGAGTGTTCTATCTGGTTCTTAACTATACCTGGAGTATTCTAGCTGGTTCCTAATTATACCTGGAGTATTCTAGCTGGTTCCTAACTATACCTGGAGTGTTCTAGCTGGTTCCTTACTATACCTGGAGTGTTTTAGCTGATTCCTAACTATACCTGGAGTGTTCTATCTGGTTCCTAACTATACCTGGAGTGTTCTAGCTGGTTCCTGTATTTCCTGGCATCAACTTCTAACCGCTCATTCTCTTCTACGAGAGTTTTAAGTTCAATGTTTGATTTGTCCAGACGCTGATGCAGATCCTCCAGTTGTCGAGTACTGCTACCCATATCAACTCTATTCATTTAAATATTTTTATAAAATCTTGATTACATATGTATTCTTTCTTCAATTTATTAATTAGTTAATCATATCTCAAACTTTAAACATAATCTTTGTTATGAAATTTCAGTAATTTGTGGTCTTTCCTTTTTTTCCAATTTTATGAATTCTATAATACTAGATAGCGGATCTACTAGATCCGGTTGTCTCGGATCCAGATCCTAATTTTCAGAATAAAAAATATTTAAGATTCCTGTCTCTCTCCCTTTCTCCTCTCTTGTCCTCTCCAAGCTGAACCTGGAAAAAATAAAATAAAGTTAAGTTTGTAATTTTAAAACTCATCTTTAATACTCAACTTTCCTAAAGAAAGTAAGAAATAGTTCAAATCACTTTGAGTTCATCTAAAGAGTGTCCCAATAAACATGGAAATTGAAAATATCGATATCTGCTTTTCACCTTTTCGTATTTGTCTAAGTAACATTTGGTATTGGTAACATTTCGTATAGGTAACATTTCGCATAGGTAACATTTCGTATAGTACACTTTGCCTAGGTAACATTTCGTACGGTACACTTTGTCTAGGTAACATTTCGTATTCGTAACATTTCGCATAGATAACATTTCGCATAAGAAACATTTCGCATAGATAATATTTCGCATTGGTAACATTTCGCATCTAGGTAACATTTCGCATAGGTAAGATATGCATAGGTAACATTTTCATAGGTAACATTTTGCATAGGTAACATTTCACATAGGTAACATTTTGCATAGGTAACATTTTGTATAGGTAACATTTCGCATAGATACCATTTTGTATAGGTAACATTTCATACAGGTAATTTTTCGTATAAAGTTATCAATCCAACAATGAAGAGAGGTTGCAAAGAAATCTATGAACCATGATAAAGAAAATCCACCCAATTACAGCATGTAATCAAAACCGTGTCTCTCGACTTCCTACTCGTCAAAGTAAATATGACTTAATTGATCACAATTATCATAAAGACTGTCAACTATTGGATCTGTGCGTAATATGGATAGTAAATCAGTTAAAACAAATATAAGTTCAAACATTTTATTAAAAAGCTAATATTTGAAGTTTTTTAAAACATTTATACGAAAAATTACCATCGGTGTTGCCATACAAAATGTTACCTATACAAGATGCTACTATACAAAATGTTACTATACAAAATGTTACTGATTCTCTAATTCATAGCAAGGACGATCTCTAAGTCGTCATTTAATTCCCATGTTTATTGAGACACCCTGTCTATAAAATGTTAGTGCTGAGTGTAGTTTGTAAAAACTTTAAAACTCTCCTCATCTCAAGGTTTCAATTTATTTTTTCTAAACAAAACTATTCTATCGTCGTCGATTTTAGAAAAAGAGAAGAAATAGGTAATTTTTGAAAAAGAGAACAATAGGTAATTTATGAAAAAGAGAACAATAGGTAATTTATGAAAAAGAGAACAATAGGTAATTTATGAAAAAGAGAACAAATAGGTAATTTATGAAAAGAGAACAATAGGTAATTTATGAAAAAGAGAACAATAGGTAATTTATGAAAAAGAGAAGAAATAGGTAATTTATGAAAAAGAGAACAATAGGTAATTTATGAAAAAGAGAACAATAGGTAATTTATGAAAAAGAGAACAATAGGTAATTTATGAAAAAGAGAACAAATAGGTAATTTATGAAAAAGAGAACAATAGGTAATTTATGATAAAGAGAACAATAGGTAATTTATGAAAAAGAGAACAAATAGGTAATTTATGAGAAAATGATTTTTTCTCTCCCCTTTGAAATATTAAGAATTATGCATACAACTGCTATGGTTTATAACTATGGTAAAGAGTTATCATAAGTATTAAAAAAAGATGATTACTCAAGGTAAGGCACTGAAATTATTATTTCATGCTTCATTATATATTTCTCACAATTTATGAGAAATATCTATTGAATCCTGATTAATCTCTATTAGGATGATAATGAATGTTTAAATAATCGTTAAAGTCCTGAGGAATTGCTTTCAAGATAAAGTTAATAAAAATCAAAAAAAAAATCGTGAAACATCTATAACAAGACGGAATTGAATGTACGAAACCCCTATCAACTAGTGAGATATCTCTAAACCTGATATTGAAGTTTCTCCACCTCTCGAACCAGCTTCTTTATCTCTAGTTCATTCCTCTCCTTATCCTGCTTACTCTGCTCGTACTGGTACTGTACCTAAACAGTTTAAAAAATTAAATTATTGTTTACATATTTCTTGACTATATAGGCTGCATACAAATACACAGACAGACAAGCTAAATATATAAATAGGGAAGCGAATCAGAATAAAAATGTAGTGTTAGAACTTTGAAATATTCTCTAACTGACATTCTGAACAAATTAAACTGGGAGAATTTGAATAAAGATTGAAAAGTTAAAAGGAAAACTTTTCAATTTGTTCTCTAAAGCTGTAACAAAAAGAAAGGAAAGAAAAATACAGGGGAACTTAGAGAGTTAAGAGGGAAGAAGATAACAGAAAAGAAAAAAGAGAAGAAATAAGGAAGATAAAGTTTAGAATGAGCATACAAAAGAAAAAACACAAATAAATGATATAACAGGGGAAATTTTTTAAAAAGATGAAAACAAATTAGAAAAGTATAATCGAGTATAAAACAAATAAAAAAACACAATTTCGAATGAAAAAGACAATTCACAGAAATGGTATAGATTCTCCTAAAATCTATCTCTTCAAAGGAACTGCCTGCATTGAACAAACCTTGTTTAGTTTCTCCACTATTCTATCTAATTAAAGGGATAGTTAACGAACCTTGTTTAGTTTCTCCTGTATTCTATCTAATTAAAGGGACAGTTAACCAACCTTGTTTAGTTTCTCCTGTATTCTATCTAATTAAAGGGACAGTTAACCAACCTTGTTTAGTTTCTCCTGTATTCTATCTAGTTAAAGGGACAGTTAACCAACCTTGTTTAGTTTCTCCTGTAATCTATCTAATTAAAGGGACAGTTAACTAACCTTGTTTAGTTTCTCCTGTGATCTATCTAATTAAAGGGACAGTTAACCAACCTTGTTTAGTTTCTCCTGTATTCTATCTAGTTAAAGGGACAGTTAACCAACCTTGTTTAGTTTCTCCTGTAATCTATCTAATTAAAGGGACAGTTAACCAACCTTGTTTAGTTTCTCCTGTAATCTATCTAATTAAAGGGACAGTTAACCAACCTTGTTTAGTTTCTCCTGTAATCTATCTAATTAAAGGGACAGTTAACCAACCTTGTTTAGTTTCTCCTGTAATCTATCTANAAGTCGGAAAATCACTAATTCATTCTTGCAAGCGAATTAATAATTAATCAAATTAATCCTAGAAATTTCTAAAAAGTTTTGTAATTAATAAATTTTGTGAACTTTTTACATAAGAATATAAAAATATTTGGAAAAATATAAAATTTGACTTTTTTTTAAATTTGGAAATCAGCTTACCACCCACCATGACCAGAGGTCCTTAGGCTTGATGCCAATTTTTTCCAATAGTCCAAAAAAAACTAAATAAAATTTCTTAATATGTTCAAAAATTAAATTAAATTTCATGTGGTACTACATTTTTTTAACTTATTCTTTATTCAGATTTGAAAAGAATTTGAAAAAAAATTGAAAAATTTCAGGTTAAATAACAATCCAAAAATCTTCTTTTTTCTATTTTAAGGTTTTGGTAGGTTTTGCGTTTTAACTTGCTCAATTTTTAAAAATTTTAAAGATTGTTTTTCAAATTTATAAAAATGAAATAACATGAAGTAAACTATTTTTAGTTAATTTTTTTGGGCTATCGGAAAAGATTATCAATTTTAAAGGCTTTGACATTTTAAAAGAGATGCTGAGCTTATCAAATACTTCCCAAACACGCTTTTATTTTTATAAACATTTAAAGTAGAACCACTGTAAGGCGTTTTGGAAAAAAATGTTTAGGACACCGTTTTTTATTTTAAATCTTTTTTGGAAAATAAGTTTTTGTTTTCTATACGAAATGAAATTAAAATGATTCTAATAATCTTGTTTTTAAAAGCATGCAATGAAAAAAGGTGCAAAAATATTAGTGATTTTAGAAAATCATCAAAATTCAGAAATTTACTTTTCCCTTCTTATTAAAAATATTATTTTGTTTGCTATTTTTAAAGGAATAATGTATGGGATTGTTTAGCATTGCATAGCTAAGGAAATGTTAACCCTATCAGGATTAAGGTATTTTTGCCTCATATAGAATGGGAGGGGNAATTGAGAATTTTCAAAAGGAATCATGAGTTTTTGCCACAAGCTTTAATTTTCTAATCCCTTCATTTGTGTAACCTAATGGTGTTCATCTTTGATATTTCAAACTTAGATTATTTGATCTAACAGAATTCATAGTTTGAAATATCTCCGGTCTACTCCATTGGATTGCAATGATATAGGGATTATTAAATCAGAGCTAAGACTCCTTTGTTCCCACTGTGAAGTTTAAAAAGTTAAGAAGTTTCAGCGATCTAGTGAAAGGCGTTCATAAGTTACAATAAAAAAACCACAGGGGGCTTGGAACTCGCCCTCTAATGTCGTGATAGGGTTAAACAAAATAATAAGATGGTTTAGATTGATGATTTCCTTAAGAAGGCTGATATATGTGTCCTATGTTTATGTCCAGTATTTAGAATGAAATGTTACAAATGGCGATCATGTGTTTTGTGCGAACTTCACTGTAGATTTAACAGTTTGATAGATATTTATATCAAACTCATTCAGATATATATCTTATTCAATTATTAGACAATTAGACATTTCTAACAATAAATCATTAGATATATAACAAGAAATCGTTTGATATTTTTTAATAATAAACCATTATATATATATCTAACAATAAATCATTAGATTTATCTAACAATAAATAATTCGATATATCTGACTATGCATTAGTATATATCAATTTTTAAAATATTGCATGGTTGCGTCGTTAATGCATTTCTCGTTTAAACTGACTGAATGGATAATTTAAGCGTAACTTTTAGATAAAACGAAATTTTTTTTATAAAATGCGGCAAATTATTATTTTATCCGGCTGAAATAATTTTAAAATGATTTGAATCCATTTTCTATCGATTAAAGGAGTTACATGAGTTATCGCAAACAGTCCATTTAAATAAGATTTTTTTGCAAATAGTCTCTTAAACAAAGATTTATTTTTTTTGCAAACACACACAAAATTTGAATTAAACATACTGGACTTGATGCACCCCACGACTTCAAGAAAATTTTCATGATTTCCTGACAACATTGCATTATTTTTAACATTTTCGGCTACAGGGGCAGTTGTATTATTTCAATAGATGGTATTGATCGATTCTCAGCAATACCCTTAACAGCTTTGTCTGATCAAGTATGAATTAGATATCAATGTTTTTAGCTTTTAAAACTAAATATTTTTTATTGTGGTTTCTCTACAAATGTGATTTTTTCATTTCTTTACTGCAGGAAAGCAAAAGAATTAGTAGAAATATAAACGTTTAGCCCAAAAAACTTCAATATCTTCCCATGTATTAATTAGATTAAGGTTTTATGGGTACCGTTGTGAATCGGGCATTGCAATCTTTGCATGGAGGGTCAGACCCTTTAATGAATTTTAGAATATTAAACAAATAAAAAATTTAAATAAAAGAAGTTTTATAAACTTTTAAAATAAATATTTGTATTCTTTTTGTACAGAGTGTCCCACGAAACATGACAGTAGCAAGACGACTTGAGAGTTGTCTTTTATCTTTGAATGTACTTGCGAAACTTAAACTTATTCGTCAAACTGCTTTAACATGTATGATAATTCTAACCACAACATCCTTCTATAGTCCTGGCATTTCCAAAAAGTGTTCTGCCTCTGCCTCAATATTACCTGAGAATTTCAGTTTCTTTTTTATTAACAAAAACTAAATTGTCGAAGTCTGAACGGATTAATATCTCCGATAATAATAAAAGCACATTTAGGAATTAAACTAAGACAAAGACGAACTAAAAGTCGTCATGCTACTGTCATGTTTCGTGGAACACCCTGTATGTAATAAATGATTTTTTTAAACTTACTTTCTCCATTTCAACTTGGATCTTTTCACTTTCATAAAGACACTTGCTCTTGGTGGTTTCAGATCTATCCAACTCGTTTCTAAACATGAAAAGAGGAATTAGAAAATTTAGTGCGCTTCATGCCACTGATCAATTCTGCACATTATTGAAATGCTAAGCAATACAGATTTGTTGTACAATCATACCTTTAGACTTTGGAATAGGAATGAATTCTTGTAGCTATTATAAAGAAAATTGCTTTACCACTGAGTCTGCAAGACACTTAAATTGTCTATATAGTCCTTATATCTTTGCAACATGATGATGTACTTCTTTGACATTTCAAACATAGATTATACGATATTACAGAATTTATAGATTGAAATATCTATCTAAGGTCTACCACATTGTGTTGCAAAGATATAGGGATACGAAAATGAGATTTTGAGGCAAAGACTTAATTATTCTTTTTTTACACTTAGACCCTTAAAACTGTGGAATAGGAAGACGATATTTCATGCTCACTGGCCTTTAGAAGCATACATATAGCCATGCAATCCTTTCATATTCCATAGTTGTATGTGTTCCACTGTGGTTCTCTCCCTCAAGCTTCTGCAGGGTATCCTCGGCATTCATCACATCCTGAAAATATTTTAAAAGTTATTTTTATACGTTTCTAAGTTTAAGAGAAACCCCATAGGAGGGGGGGGGGGGCGGGACACCCACCCTAATCGTGATAAGGTTAAAGGTTAAAACATTTATTTAAATTTCATTTTTAACTTGAAAAGGTTTATCAGAAAAGCCTGTAAGCTATATTTAAACTAGTCCAGCTTTTTTCTTACGAGCTAACTGTGATGTTTTGTCACTCAATAAAGTAAAATGTTACGTTTTATTAACGTTTAAAGGCAAAATTGCACGTGTTGTCACGATTTATGTCACAAAGTTACCTTTTTACATTATATATATGAAAATGTCACGTTTTGTCACGTTTTACAGCAAAAAGGTTAAGTTTCATCATGTAAGAATGCAAAATGTAGCACTTGGTCATATTTTTTTAAAAATGATACGTTTTGTCATGATTAATTAGCAAAATGTCTCGTTTTGTAACACATCTCACGTCACGTTCTAGGGCCAAATGTTACGTTGTTTCACATTCAAAATGTCAAGTTTTAAACGTTACGCAGCAAAATGTCACGTTTTTAATGCATCATAATACGTTTCTTTACATTAAAAAGTGTACCTGTTCAGACTGATTATATTTATCCCTCCAAGCTTCTAGCTCCTGTTCTAGTCGCTGAAGTTCACTCTCATGTACCTGGAATAATAATAATATAATAATAATATTAATAATAATAATAATAATAATAATAATAATAATAATAATAATAATAATAATAACAATAATAATAATAATAATAATAACATTTCGACCTTTTTACATGAATTAGCTCGATCTATCTGCACTTGAGACTTTTGTAGATCAATTTGAGCCTTCTCTAGATCCACCTAAAACAATTACATGTACAGAAACATGTCAAAATATGTAAAATTTCATATTTCAAAATAATTTACTCCACTATAAATCATTTACAATGTTTTATTTTTTTTAGATTACTTGTTTCATTCTAGAAATTCAGAAATAACCTTTAAGTTAAATCCTATATTCTCAAAATTAATCTAAATCATCGAGCTGAAAACGGGAGAACACATGTAATATAACAAAGAGCTGAAAAAAAATATATCATAGGACTAAAAGCAGAAAAAATAAAATAAAGGACTAAAAACAGAAAACATGAAATATAGGAGTATAAACAGAAAATATATAACATAGGACTAAAACAAAAATAAACAATATATAACTAAAAACAGAAAATATAAAATAAAGGACTAAAAACAGAAAATATAAAATATAGGAGTATAAACAGAAAATATAAAATATAGGACATATAAAACATTGAATTAAAGCCAGGAAAACACATAACTGTAAAAGAAAAAAGAAAAAAACTAAGTTAGTCACACAGTGAACATGTAAAAAAGTATTTAAAAAATTTAATACAGAAAATACAAAAAATTGAATCACTAAAGTCACAAAAAAAAGAAATAAAATCTCAAAGCAAAGAACTGAAAATAAGAGATAAACAACTAACATGTTGAATACTATTATAAACGTACATTGCTAGCATAGGTCATGACTAAAATATTAAAAGTATATGTGCAAAATAGACTTTCTTTTTTTCAGCTCTCTGTTTTGATCTGAGAGAATAAATAGTTTTCTTATTCAGGTGTCTGGTTCAGACAAAAGATAAGTTTAAGCTTGAACACACGACAAGGACAAAACAATAGTGTCTTTAAAAAAGGTTTTCTTTTTTCATCATTAAAATAAATTCATCATTAATATAATACTGACTGTAAGAATATCTGCCCATGATTTCTATGAACACTGTACAAATAACTTTTGTACAACTAGCTGTACAACTAGTGTACAGCTAGTGTACAGCTAGTATACAACTAGTGTACAACTAGTTCATCACTAGTTTACCACTTTTGTACAACTAGTGTAGAATTAGTATACAAATACTGCACAACTAGTGTACAACTAGTGTACAACTAGTGTAAAGCTATTGTACAACTAGTGTACAACTAGTGAACAACTAGTGTACAACTAGTGTACAACTAGTGTACAACTATATACAACTAGTTTACAACTAGTGTACAACTAGTGTACAAGTAGTGTACAACTAGTGTACAACTAGTGTACAACTAGTGTACAACTAGTGTACAACTAGTGCACAACTAATGCAGAGATAGTGCACAATTAGTGAACACCTATTGTACAACTAGTGTACAACTAGTGTACAGCTAGTGTACAGTGTACTGTATGCTTCTCACCTCTGCCTTTGCTAATGATGATTGTATGTACTGTATCTCCTGTTTAGCCTGATTGTAACGTTCTTTATACTTCTCAGAGTCAGAGAGGGCCTGAATTACACAGCTCAGATTGCTTTACACCACAAGACATACTTTTTTTAATCTTTTTCTTTTTTGTGTAAGGAATAATTTCTTTTTTGCAATGTTATAAACATTCAAAGAATTCAGGTTTAAATTTTTTTATTTTTTTATTGAAAATATGTCTGGTGCTGCTCTTGGTTGTCTTGTTCATTAGCAATTGTTAGTGTCTTTGTGTGTGAGCCATGTTTTTCGGTTTAATGATATTTGAAGTAAAGAAAATCCAAGATCCATTAAAAAATCCCCCCCGGTTGTTATATTCAACAGATATTTCTTATTAGGTTTTCATGTAATATTTATGTAAAATGAAAAAAGGAAATCTGTATAGTGTATATTCTTTAGAAGCATACATATAGCCATGCAATCCTTTCATATTCCATAGTTGTATGTGTTCCACTGTATAGTGTATATTCTTAAAAAAGATTTGACCTTGATTTTTACATCCCTATATCTTTGCAACACAATATTGTAGACCTTAGAAATTTAAACAATGACTTTTGTTAGATATAATAATAAAAGTTTACAATTTCAAAGGTTTACACCATCAGGTTACGAGGATATAGGGATCAGAAAATTTGGGTTTATTGGAAAATCTAAGTTTTAATGGAATAAACAAATGGATTATCAAGTACAGTAGGTGGCAAGAGAGAAATAGATTATCAAGTACAATTGGTGGCAACAGAGAAATAGACAAATTATACCCGACGTCAGAAGTATCAAATATAACAAGGAGAACGAAATTGTCTCACATTAATTGAAATGTTTTCTAAGATTAAATAAAAAAGTGTAAATCTATTTGGCAATAACCAACAGAAATTGGATTTGAAAGGTTTTAGAAGGAAAAACGAAATGGGTTTCTAATAAAATAACTTTATTAATTAGAAATTCTGTTTTAAGAAATTAGAATATTAAAACTGAATATCGAGCAATTGATAAAAAAATCGAAAAAAATCTTTAACAATATAATTGATCTATATCTGAGTATATCAATAACGAAGATATCATCTTTTGAATTTATTAATAGATCACCTACAAAAAATTTCCTTACTAAACGTTTCCTTACTAAACGTTTCCTTACTAAACGTTTTCATACTGAAAGTTTCCTTACTGTTTCCTGTTTCCTGTCACAAAATATTCCCTACAAAACGTTCATTACAAAATCTTTCTTTACAAAAAATATATTTTTTTGGCTACCTTTTGAAAGAAATCGTTTTGTAGCAGGAAAAGATTTTTAGCAGGAAACGCTTGGTGGCAGGAAACGTTATTCGGCGGGAAACAATTTGTAGTATGAAACGTTTGGTTGCAGGAAACGTTTGGTGACAGGAAAAATTTTGAGTAGAAAACATTTAGTAAAGACACGTTCTGTGAGAAAATATTCAGTAAGGAAACGTTCATTAAGAAAAGGTACAGAAGTACAGAATTGCAGAACGTAGCTCAGCTGATTCCTTCAAAAGTTTCTAACTCTAGTCTACTTATGTATTTTTGATAAAAATGAAAATTATAACAATATTTACTACTTTACCTCAGAGTTTCAATTTCTTTTTTATGCCTCGCTTCCTGGGCTGTTAAGTTCTCTACATCCTAAAATATAATTACTATAGATTTGTGTAAAAATTATAGAAATTATAGAAGAACCCTTATGTCAGACAACAACATAATTTTCATTTTTATCCTATATTAGTTACATTCTTTATTGTAATTTACAAATATTTATATTTTGCTACAGTCTTCGTTTTCTATATCAATACAATGAAGACGACTTGTTAACAGCATGGATAAGCATAAAGATGGAAACGAAGAGGTTGTTAACTAAAAAAGCGTTGCTTTGTATTTTTGTAAACTTTATTGTATTGATTTAAATGCCGACCTATGTATTAACCCTAATTAAGCCAAACATCAAAAGAATTCTTCAAATGTCGTATTCTTCACTTTCTGATAATATGGTGTGTTGCAGATAATTAGTTTTTTAATTAAATGATTATATGGAGCTCTTTAAAACAGTTTCCGCATGTTCATGGCTATTGATTTATTTTCGCAAAAATTGAGATTAACGTAAAACAGTATAAAATACATTGAAAATTTTTTTTGATGTATGGCTCTTTTAGGGTTTAACTGTTCTTATACAGAGTTTGAGTTAAATTTTTAATCTTTAACATTTTACAAATTATTTTGTGATAATTTACAGTAATCTGCATTTGTTTTTTACCGTCAAAGATCTCTCTAGTTTCTCGCGGGCTTTTTCAGTTTCAATTTTAGCTCGACTGATGTCTTCAGTCAGTTTCTCTTCATTGTCAACATACTTGGCCATCCGCCCAGCAAACCGCTCAACCTGAAGTGTACAAAGTTAAAACTTCGGATATGTCGTCGTTTTCTAATCTCTTTTATGAGTTTACTCGACAGGAATTATTGAACCCGGAAATTCAAAACTCTGGATATGTCGTCGTTTTGTAATCTATTTTATGAGTTTACTAGATGGGAAATATTGAACCCTTTAAAGTCAAAACTACGGATATGTCGTTGTTTTCTAATCTCTTTTATGAGTTTACTCGATAGGAAATATTGAACCCGCAAATTGTCAAAACTCCGGATATATCGTCATTTTCTAATCTCTTTTATGAGTTTACTTGATAGGAAATATTGAACCCGCAAAGTTAAAACTCCCGATAAGTCGTCGTTTTCTATTCTCTTTTATGAGTTTACTCGATGGGAAATAATGAACCTGGCATAACCGCAGGCTCAATTTCCCGCCATAATGTGGCTCATCCACTCCGGACTAACCAGAGTGAGCAGCATTAACTTTTGGTATATAATTCAACAATGTTTTACCTTACGGATTGCTTATACTATACTTTTTCATATAAAATGCATGAGTTGAAAAAAAAAGTTTTTTTTTAAAAAGCAAACCAATTATGTTTAATTGGTCAAATTGTGTTTAAAAGTCACAGCTTTCTGGAATGTTGACTTAACTGTTATCCATGTGCATTTGATGGACAGTGACAAAGGATGAAACTTTAATGAAAACCTGAAACTTGTTCAATATGACGATCCAAACGTTTGGTTTTGTGCCTTTAAAATAGAATTAACTGGATTAACCGGCTAATATGACTAACAAAGAGAGAAGATTATAGCTACAAGGAATCTTGAATGTCAAAAAAAAAAGATTGAGCAAGATATGTGCAGTCGTTTCTAAAGACATAACTCTGAAGGATAAGAACTGATATAATAAATGATTTGAAATGCAGGCTGAATGGACTGTAAGTGTGACCATGTATGCAGAGAGGGCCATGTCTGACATACAACCCTACCCTTAAAATCTTTGGAGGATCATTGAGTGTAGAGATCTTCGTGTGTTTATCTCTGAAGTTGGGTTTAAATTGCTGTAAAACCGATAGGCCACTCTACATTTTAAAATAACGCTTACAGTTTATTTAACAAACCACGCCGCAAGTGTTTAAGCTTGTCTTTGCATTGCAAATTGTTTCCTAGAGTACACATTAAACCAACTGTAGATCTGTTGTCCAAACAACGTAATTTTTTTATTGCTTTGCTTTTTAACCAATACCCAAGTAACAATTTTGCGGAAAATCTGCGGAAATTCCTAGGAATTATTCCTGGGAATCCACGGAAATTCCCAGGAAAATCTTTCACAGAAAAATCTTGTGAAAATGTCGACAGCTATTCTGAGCAATTTCTCGTAACCCATTCCGAGGAACCAGGTTCTAGGTATTTCTTGTAACCCATTCCGAGGAAATTCTCATAACTCTATCCAAGGAATTTCTTGTAACCAATTCCAGGGAATTTCTTGTTACCAATTCTGCAGAAAAACCGGAGAAAATGTCGACAAACTTTGTGGAAATTCTTGGGAATTTCCAGCAAAAAATTCTTCAGAACCAATTCCTGTGAATTTCCTGGGAACTATTCCCAAGATTTTTTCAAGAGTTTCCCAGGAATATCTTGAAATTTTCTCAGAATAATTTAAGTGAATTATTGGTTATAAAAATTCTTTTTTATGTATGCATCCATTTTTCAGCAATTGGTCATTAATCTAAATTTTCCTTCATACAATATATGAGACATAAAATTTTGACCTGTAGATTCTACTAAATAAATTTAATGTTACTAAAAGAGATTTTATTAACATTTCAAATCTGCAATTTGAAACAAATCAAAGTAACGAGTCAGCTCACTCAACACAGAGAGCAAACACTTCATATTAAACTACTTGAAAGGATTTATGTTCAAAGCTCAAATAGTTTCAATATAAATGTATGTTTATAAAACATACTGAAATAGTTATCACAAGTTTTAAAAGTTCAGGTGTAAAACTTTATTTTACACCTGAACTTTTAAAACTTTCAAGGGTTTTTACGAATAGGTGGTATCGTTTGAAAATTTGAAAAAATATCATAAAAGCAAACTTTTATAGTAAACAACTTTAGGATATTGTAAACTTGAAAGTTGAAAATCTATTCCCATCTTTAGAAGAGCGCCCTTATTTCAGTAGAAGTAAAAATTTCCGTTTTCTGCTTAGCGCTGATTAACATGTTGAGTCATATTTAATTGGATGATGAGATACATAGGTGTTACTGTTGCTGCAATTTCTGTTGATTCTGAATCGTCAACATGTATACATGACTGAACCCTGATTGGATTAGAGGCTACGGAAAATATTGAAACAAGGCATACTATAGTGAGCCAGTGGGATAGTTATAATATTCCTATTTTAGGGCGGGTACTGTAAAACGTCTGGCCAGTGGCCACATTATAAAAGTTGAAGCTGGGCCCACATAGAATCGGTGCGGGGCAGTACTTGCCGCAAGTCACTATTGGCTCTATGGCCGGTACAAGGGGTTGGTCCAGTACAAACTCAAATTGACCCTAGACCACTCTGAAAAGTGAGAGGGTTTGATAATCCTACCTCAGCTTCAAGACTTGCAGTCTCAGATTTATATTTCTCAAGCTCTCCATAAACTTTTCTTAACTCCATCTGGGTTTTGTCATGCTTGTCATACAGCTTCTCTAACTCAACCTAGATACATAGATAGATATATAGATTAATATATATATACATCACGGTTAGCCGTAGTACATTTGAATTTCTGAGCCGGGTCAACCTTTCCGGTCCCAGTTTGTACTGTATCGCACGGACATTGGGTAGATAAATCAGACACTCAGGACTAGCCGGTGCATCAAGGATGACAGAATCAGACTTTAGGTTGAATTTACATTAACTAAAGGGTCAGAGGTGCGTGACATATAAATAATGAAAAAATATCAAATATTTAACTATTTACTGGATTGTATCTACAAGTTTGTTAATATAAATGTGTGTACAGGTTCCTTAAAAAAAGTGTAGTATGTGTCCTCAAGTCTTGAACCATAGATTAACAAATAACATCACACAAGTTCTGACTTCTGTACTAGTGGTCTGTGAAATATCCTTAGTTTAATTTTGCATTCTATCTTCTTAACTTCTGAAATGAACTGCATCAATCTAAATAGATTAGGATGCATTGTAATGCATTCGGGTTGGACTATATTAACACAAGGCAATCGACATAAGCTGAATCTACATTTCTAAAAGAAAACTTATGCTTTTAAAAAAAATATATTTATTTATAAGATTTATTTTCCAAGAAGAAGAAAATATAGAAGAAAACTCTGAAAGATCTTATTCTTAATTAGGAATTTTAAATTCAAGAATACTTTTTAAAAATATATTTTAATAAACCAAGAAAAAAAAATTGTCTTGTGACAGGTTAAATGCACAAATAGAAATTGTATTGAATAACTATAATTTACCTGTAGTCTTGCAACCTCTTCTTGAGATTTATCTAGACCACCCTGAGCCTTGGTGTGCTGCAAGGAGACGCGTTCCAGCTCATACTGGAGTTTGTCATTCTCACCCTGCACCTTCTCCTTCTCTTGGTGAACCTTTCTCAGCTCAACCTGATAAAATAGGTTTATCATTCACATCCTGTACCTTCTCTTAGTAAATTTTTCTCAGCTGAACCTGATATAATAGGTTTAACATTCTTACCCTAAACCTTCTCCTAGTAAACCTTTCTCAGCTCAACCTGATAAATATAGGTTTATCATTCACACCCTGAACCTTCTCTTAGTAAATTTTTCTCAGCTCAACCTGATATGATAGTTTTATCCTTCTTGCTCTAAACCTTCTCCTAGTCAACCTTTCTCAGCTGAACCTGATATGATAGTTTTATCCTTCTTACTCTGAACCTTCTCCTAGTCAACCTTTCTCAGCTAAACCTGATATATATAGGTTTATCATTCTTACTCTGAACCTTATCCTACCATGTTGCAGAGAGTTCATCTGAATTATAATGTTTCCAATAAATAGATAAATATATGCCAATATACTATAAAAATATTAATAATAACTATAAGAATAATCTGAATAGATAACTATATGCCAATATACTATAAAAATATTAATAATAACTATAAGAATAATCTGAATATTGATAGAATATTACCTGTGTTTTATCAAACCTCTCCCGAACCATCTCAAGATCGAAATGAGCTCTCTCCAGATCGTCCTGTAAATAATCAAACTTGTTAAAAATATTTCAACAATTTTTTTAAATCTAAAAAATTTGAAAATTTTTTCTGAAGTTATTTTGTTCCTTTTATCAAAGACACAAAAAACTAAAAACTTTTCAACTTTTTAAAAAGTTTTGTCTGTAGAAAATCATAAGCGAAGGAATTTTCCTTTCAACCAATGAGAGAACAAATAATTTGCAGATATTCAAAATTAAGAGACCAAGCAGATTCTACCTAAAATTCAAAAGTATCCTCTGTGGATATCAAATCAAGCTAATGGGTAACTAACGCAAAAGTTCTCAGGTTGTGAAGAGAATGAGGCAGGTAATCAGTTTTTTTTTAATGTCAATAAAATAATATTTACCTTCAACCCAACTTCCATATCCTTGGTTTTAGCCAGCTCCAGGGATGTTTTATCATACATGTCCTAAACATGCAAAATTTCTGCACAAATTGCATCACTGAAACTTTTGCGAATAAGGATTGCAATTACAAAAATATTGCAAAATTGAAAATATACATTAATAACCAGAACACTCTGAAATACGAAGAAGACTTCAAAAATCAAGTTATAACTTTAAAAAGTGCAATGATCTTGATACACAGCAATTGTACAGTGTAAGTTAGTGATTAATCAGCGTTTTTGCTAAGCCATTTTCTTTGAAACAGGATCAAGATCACCAAATTATTGCTAAATTGCTGTTTTTCTATTCCATTGTTATTACCGTAGCAAAGTTTTATAAAAATGCTATTTTATTCAGAGATTGAATTTATAAAAAAAGGGCAAACATATATAGATTAATTATTACCTGTAGTCCATTAAACTCCTCCATCAGTTTCTTATGATCATCTTTATGTTTACTTGACAGAATGTTAGTCTTTTCCAACTCCATAGTCAATCTAAAAAATCAATCAATCAATAAATCAATTTAATCAATCAATCAATAAATCAACCAATTAACCAATTTAATCAATAAATCAATCAACAACCTGATCAATCAATTTTAAAATCGTCTTTGTGTTTACTTCAGAGAATATTAGTATTTTCCAACTCCCTAGTCAATTTAATCAATCAATCAATAAACCAATCAACTAATCAGTTAATTATTTGAATTATTAATTGATTAATCACAGTTTATCTATTTACATACACAAAATTAAATTTAAATGAAACAAATCGATTAATCAATCAACTATTAATGTAATCAACAAAGAAATGTTTAAAAACATGAGAATCATTTTATCAATGTTTTATGAATGAAATCAATCATATCAATCAAATCATTTAAATTAAACAAATCAATCGAATCAATCAATTTAATCAAATCAATCAAATCAATCGAATCATTCAAATCAATCAAATCAATCAAATCAATCAAATCAATCAAATCAATAAAATCAATAAAATCAATAAAATCAATAAAATCAATTAAATCAATCAAACCAATCAAACCAATTAAATCAATCAAATCAATCAAATCAACTTACCTTTCATGATCTGTTTGTGTATTGTCCAGTTTACTCTGGAGTCTATATAGGTCACCCTGGCACCTAAATATTTATCTTTTCATTTATTAATCCCTTCATTTATGTATTTCCTTTCATTTATGTATTCCCTTTAATTTATGTATTTATCATTTAATAGATTGTTTCATTTATTAATCTTTTCATTTATGTATTCATCCTTTCATTTATTTATTTATCCTATTATTTATTTATTTATTCTTTCATTTATTTATTTATCCTTCAATAGATTGTTTCATTTATTCATTCTTTCATTTATTCATCCTTATTTTCATTTATGTATTCATCTTTTCATTTATTTATTCAATCTTTCATTTATGTATAGATCCTTTCATTTATTTATTCAATCTTTCATTTATATATTCATCCTTTCATTTATTTATTCATCTTTTCATTTCTTTATTCACCCTTTAATAGATTGTTTCATTTATTCATCCTTTCATTTCTTTATTCACCCTTTAATAGATTGTTTCATTTATTCATCCTTTCATTTTTTTATTCATATTTTCATTTATCTATTCATCCTCTCATTTATTTATTCATTCTTTCATTTATTTATTCTTCCTTTCATTTATTTATTCCCTTTCATTTATGTATTCATCCTTTAATAGATTGTTTCATTTACTCATCTTTTCATTTATTTATTCATCCTTTCATTTTTTTATTCATTCTTTCATTTATTTATTCATCCTTCAATAGATTGTTTAATTAATGCATCCTTTCATTAATTTATTCATCCTTCTTATATATTATTTCTTTTTTTTTCACTTGCCATTTATCATTCTTTCTTTCATTTATACTTTTTTTCATCCTTTTATTCTTTTATTATTTCTTTCTTTCATCCTTATAATCTTCTTTATATTAACTTATTCTTCCTTTCATTAATTTATTTATATTTCATACATTAAATTATCATTTTATTTGGTTATAATCCTTTCAGTTATTTAGCTCTTCATTTATTTATTCATTCATCCTTTCATTTTTTTTCATTTATTTATTCAAACTTTTATTCATTAATTTAACCTTTCACCCTTTCATCCTTTTGTCTTTTTTGTTTTTCATTCATTCTTTTGTCACTTCTCTTTATTTAATTTATCTATATATCTTTTCAATCATCTTGTAATTTTTTTATCCTTTCATCCTTTCGTCCTGTCATCCTTTCATTAATTAAATGAAAGTGGTTTTTAGGTTGAGAGTTAATTGAGTTAAACTTTATTTAAAACACACTTTAAACATTAGAAACCAATTAGTTTGATTTGATAAGTGTAATTAGTCTCGTGTTGAATGAATTAACTGACATGCAGAAATTAATTAAAATTAAAAATTACATTTCTAAAAAGCGTTTTAGATGTATTCGGATATTTGTTTCAAATTTATGTTCATGTTTAGGTTTCTTGTTTTTATTCATGTTCAAGTTCATGTTCATGTTCAAGTGCATGTTCATGCTCTTGTTCATGTTTATTCTTACGTTCATGTTCATGTTCTTGTTAATGTTCATCTTCATGTTCATGTTCATGTTCTTGTTCGTGTTCAAGTTCATGTTCATGCTCTAGAGTATGTTCATGTTCTTTTTCATGTTCATTGTTCATTTGTATCTTTATGATTATGTTCATATTCTTGTTCATGTTCATGTTCATGTTCATGTTCATGTTCATGTTCATGTTCATTTTCATGTTCATGTTCATGTTCATGTTCATGTTCATGTTCATGTTCATGTTTTCATCTTCATGTTCATGTTCTTGTTCTTGTTCTTGTTTATGTTTATGTTCATGTTCATGTTCATGTTCATGTTCATGTTCATGTTCATGTTCTTGTTCATGTTCATGTTCATCTTCATGTTCATGTTCTTGTTCTTGTTCTTGTTTATGTTTATGTTCATGTTCATGTTCATGTTCATGTTCATGTTCATGTTCATGTTCTTGTTCATGTTCATGTTCATGTACATGTTCTTGTTCTTGTTTATGTTTATGTTAATGTTCATGTTCATGTTCTTGTTCATGTTAATGTTCTTGTTCTTGTTCATGTACTACTTATTTGTTTGTTCATGTTATGTCCAATGTCAATAGCATGCTTTATAGAAAAAATGACCTGATTTGCTTTTGTACCTGCTCTTTTTTTGGCAAATTATGAATTTTGGAATTTTCGTTTATAAGATTTTATAACACATGTCTTGTAAGGCACACATCCGTTTATAATTTAAGTTAAGCATTTAAATGTAGTGTTCACGAAAAAAGAAAGGGTGTATAGATGCTTTGCGGCGAAAAATAATCGCTTTTGATCTCTATTTATCTTACTTCTATCTGTTGCGTCTAGAAGTAAGATTAGTAGCGATCAAAAGCGATTATTTTTCGCCGTAAGCCTAAACCCCCTTTTATTTTTCGCGAACACTCCCTTTAAGTAAAATCATAATATTTTGTTAAACAGCGCGCATATTTATTTCTTAGATAAAACGGAAAATTTTTGGTTTCATTCTGCCTTTTAACTTTGCAATTTTACCAGTGATTTTCTATTTGTTTTCTTAAAAAAGAAGGTTTGTACATTTTCATTAATAAAACATGATCAACATTAATAAATGTTTAAATTTAAGGTTGAGGACGACAACCTCTCAACAGTTTTTGTTCATCCCAGTATCCAGACAAATTAAGGACAAGTGTCAAATTGTTAATTTTTTGCAAGGATTATCCGGATTTTATATATGGTGTCTTTAAAAAGTTTCAAGTATGAACCGACATTTTGGACATTAAAATTATCTATTATAAAAAAACAATGAGTTTGTAAAGAATGTTTAAATTTATTAATCAAAAATATTATTAGTTTTCAGACAAATGCTGAACATTGTTCTATTTTGTACTGGAAAGATTTTAGGAGTTTAAAACAAAAAAAAACTAATTTTCCCCCCCCCCCCCGAAATACATTTATAGTTGCGCTCCTGTACATAGTTGTACAAAATATTATGATCTGTACGTTTGTAAGCGTGTACCTATGTACAACATCATTAAGATGTTCAGGAATACTCCGACTATGAAGTACAGTACAACTGTACAAAAAAAACACTCAAAGAAATGTCAAATTTATAAAATTTGATAAAAGTTTTCTTCCAAATCATAAAACAATTGATACTTAATCGGAGCATATAGCAGTGTTTACCCTCTACCCGATTTGGGTATTTTTGTCTAATATTAAAGGAGGTTGGGGGGTGGGGGGGGGAAGGGTGTTTTTTAAAACTTTTTCACAACTATAGTGCTAAAAGAGAATGCGGGAAAAGTTTCCATTTTTATGGAAGAAAAAAGACTTTTTATTTAAAGTCGCGAAAGAATACCCTTTAATAAAATAAAACTCGACTCTTTTGTAAAGAAAAAATTCGATCTTAAAATTTCTTTGTTATTGTTTTATTAAAACTATTTTATTATAATAGACTGTAAGCGTGATTTCAAGTGACCCTCCATGCAAAGAGGAGAATGCCTGATTGTACAACAGCACCTAAATTACGCATTGTTGAGTTAAGTCAGGCATTCCTCTTTGCATGTAGGGTCAATTGAAATTACGCTTGCAGTATCGTTATAGGTCCTAATATGGCACATTGAAATATATACAATTAAACCATATATGCCTCCTTAGTTCTATAAAAAATTATTCTTTTACGCGAAATTAGGAACTACAAAAACAGAAAATTTCAAAAAGGAATAAAAAGTTCTCAATTTTCCTTGACAGTGCAAAATGATTATTTAGTGCTTGCTTGTAAATTTATATCTATTATTAACAACGAAAAAGTTTTTGCCGGGATTTTAATTTTTTTTAGTTTGTTTAAGATCAAAATGAAAGTATTTTCACACCTGACGTAGTGAGCTGTGAAAAAACTTTTGAGACACATTAGGTATGAACTTTGAAATTTTAATAGCAGGGTGAAAAAGTTACTTTTTCGCCCTGTTGTAAGGCGATAAAGTCACTTAATCACCCTACAACGGGAAGATTTAGGTGTGGTAAATTCCATCAAAATTGAACAAAAACAATTTATCTTATTTATATCATATTACGATAAAAAATCTAAAAAGTGCAAGAAAAGAAAGTTTTGCAAAACTATGATTTAATATATTTAGAATGTTTAAAACTAATACTAGTTCTATTAAATATTTAAACTAAGTTTTAGGTTTTTACTGAAAATATTGGAAGTACATTGAGATTCAGAAAACTTTTGAATAGAAGGATGGCTTTAAGACTTAAGTTTTGATTTTAAATAGCCCGGGAAAAAAAAACTATAAAACATTGCACTTATGCAGACGCATTTTACTTAATAAAATGATTTTCAAACTAATGGTATACTTATTTGCTTGTAATAACATCATTAAATACAGATGGAATGCTTTAATGCAAGCTTGCTATTTCACATTTTCACTGCATAAATGCATTCATTTGTAATTATTACAAATATGCCTTTAGGTTATATTTTAAAACATATTTTTTCTAAGATATTTAAAAATATCAATTCTTGAATATCAAAGGTGTGTTACCTGTCATATTTCTCAAGAAGCCGATCAAACTCTTTATTATTCATGTCCTTCTCCTCGGTCAACTGAACAGTTTAAAATTAAATATTTAAAAACCTACAGGGTATCCCACAAAACTTGATGATGCTAGCACGATGATTTGAAGGTGAATGTCTTATTTGACATTCAGTTGTCAACCTATACTTGTATGATACCTCAAAAATAATTACAAGATTCAAGTTCTGGCATTTCCGAAATGAAAGTCTTTATCTTGAGCACAAAAAAGGCGGACAACATTTTGGGAATGTGATTATTAACTCTTAAAACTATAGGTTGAAAAATAAGTGCAAAAATTACAGTGTAAACCAGAAAACTCTGAAATAGTAAGACGACTTTGAAAATCAAGTTTTAACTTGAGAAAGTTCAACAACCAAGAAACACAGCAATTGTGCTGTGTAAACAGACCCATTTCACAGAAAAGTGATTTGAAAAGTGTCTGGTAAAACTATTTGCTTTGTAACACCATCAAATACACTGCAGTATTGCTATAATGTCGTATTCCTATTCCATTGTTTTCTGGTTATCACTGTATATCAAAAATAAAAGACAATCTTCAAGTAATATCATGTTTCGTGGGGTACTCTGTACATCAGATCACTAGTATACATCTTTGAATAAAGCTTGGTTGTTACGAACATCTAAATCACAGATCGGACTGCAGGTCCAAAAACTTATTTTTAAAAAATAATGTAAAAACAACAGAACAAAATTTGGTTAGTTTTGATTGTAAGATTTGGAAATAGTTTTCTTCCTCCTTTACACTATAGTTTCAGTATAAGTAAATATTTCCTATTAACTGATAGCGCCGATTGAAGGATTCGTATCTAATGGGATAATGAGATAGAAAGAAAGATAGATGTTACCGCCATAATATTTCTATCGGTTCAAAATAGACAACATGGCTGAACCCTGATTGGATCAGGCGCTAATGGACCGGCATACAGAAGTATTTTTCATCCTAAGACTTTATGAGAATACTTATTTTTTAAATAATAATCTTACATATTTGCTCAAATATAAATAATACTGAAAATATTTGAGAAATATAAGCCTGTTATTTCTGTACTATATAATATGAGAGAAAAAAAGAAATAATATAGTATTAATATTAACATGATTTATTAATATTTTCTTTGTTAAACAATATATTATGTACTCTATTACTTTATATTACAATAGTTGTAGGGAGATTTCCCATAGAGAATCAAATTCCCGAGAAAAATAAAATAAAATACTTTTAACTTACAATTTTGATGGACATCTTCTCCTTCTCCAGCCTGTCCTTACAGTCCTCCAGCTCAATTACAGAGTCCTCCTTCTCCCTCTAGTAAAAATTATGATGATAATTATAGTAATAATTATCATAATAATAAAATTATGAATAATTCAGTACACATTGTATACAGATTCTTTGTTTATATTTAGTTGCAGTACACATTTTATACAGATTCTTTGTTTATATTTGGTTGCAGTACACATTGTATACAGATTCTTTGTTTATATTTAGTTGCAGTACACATTTTATACAGATTCTTTGTTTGCATTAAGTTGCAGTACATATTTTATACAGATTCTTTGTTTAAATTTAGTTGCATTACACATTTTAAACAGATTCTTTGTTTATATTCAGTTGCAGTACACATTTTATACAGATTCTTTGTTTAAATTTAGTTGCAGTACACATTGTATACAGGTTCTTTGTTACATTTAGTTGCAGTACACATTGTATACAGATTCTTAGTTTATATTAAGTTGCAGTACATATTTTATAAAGATTCTTTGTTTAAATTTAGTTGAATTACATATTTTATAAAGATTCCTTGTTTAAATTTAGTTAAAGTACATATTTTATAAAGATTCTTTGTTTATGTTCATTTTATACAAATTCTTTGTTTAAATTTAGTTGCTGTACACCTTTTATACAGAATGTGCGGTTATTTTTAAAGTAGAAAAATTATTGGTTTGCATAAAGTTGGTTCGTTGTTTGACTATATTGCCTTGTAAGGTCAAAATTTGACATATAGTTTTTAAATGAGAAAATGTTTTCAAAACTATTTATTCTTAATATTTGTTTTCTTACAATAGGCCCAATTTCGACCCTGACTGCAAGTATCGATCCTAAACTGATCCAAACATTAACATGTTATAATGATCGTTTATTGATCGTTGTTGGATCGTTTTCCATTTGTTTTTTCAGGATAAATTTTTTTTTAAATCAACCCAAATACTGATTCAATGTTTTATCAATTAGTTTGATTTTTTACGTCATCAAGACTTTCTTAATCTTGTTTTATGTCCAAGTTGGTTCGACAACATTTTTATAAAACTCTTGCTGGAAAGCGGAGATTTTAACATGTAAATCTGTGTGCACGGCTTAATCGATCTTAAGATATAAACACTACCTGAACTGCCCGGCGTTGCATATGAAATTTTTTTTAATCGAATTTTGAAAAAAAAAATCCTTTTTTTCAAAAAGTTTTATTATATAGATATATATTTTACTGAGTCAAAATATTTCTCAACATCTCTTTTCCCTTCCTCTCAGGGGAAATCTTGAGAGGGGGGAGGGAGGGGGGCCAGAGGAACAGGGGGGAGTAGAAGCAGATGTGGGGAGTATTCAATTAATCTTTATTTATAAGAAAATATAACACGTTCAAGAAAAGTACATAACTGAGATAATATGGAAAGTACATAAAGTACATAACTGAAATATTATGGACAGTTCATAAATGAGATAATATGGAAAGTACATAACTGAGAAAATATAGACAGTTCATAAATGAGATAATATGAAAAGTTCATAACTGAGATAATATGGACAGTACATAAATGAGATAATATGGAAAGTACATAACTGAAATAATATGGAAAGTACATAAATGAGATAATATGGAAAGTACATAACTGAGATAATATGTAAAGTACATAAATGAGATAATAGTGAAAACACATAAATGAGATAAAATGGAAAGTACACATCTGATATTATAAAGAAAGTACAAAATCAAAAGGAAATTTTCGTTTCTTATTTTTAATTAAATTTGACAATTTCTTTGAACATCAACTTGCACATGAAAAGTTTAAAATTAAAAAAGAAAGTCCATGTAAAATCATTTTTTTTAGATTTTAATGTTTAAGGTTAGAACAGTGTTTTACTGCTTCAAAAAAGAGTATTTGCTGCAAACTCTGATTTTCTAATTCCTTTGTTTATTTATGTCGTTTACGACAACAAGTTGCAAATATATAGGAATTGGAAAATTGTTGTACACAAAGACTCAATTCCTTTGACATAATTTTGAAAAAAATAACTCCCTATGTTACAAGTTGTACCTGGAGAAGATCTATCTGTGTGAGATGTCTGCCGATCTCTGTATCCATCCTATCCTTCTCTTCTTCTACCCGTATCAAGGTTGTCTAAACACAATTAAAACTATAAGATGTCTGCTCTGTATCCATCCTATCCTTCTCTTCTTCTACCCGTATCAAGGTTTTCTAAAAGCACAGCAGATTAAGACGGCGAAATTTTCAAGAAAAACAAATGCCTTAATTCCTTTAGTCTTTTTTTTAATTTTTGCTGTAATTCCCTTGATTCCCTACTTGGAGTATTCACAATCTCTCCCATTAAACTTACCTGAAGTTATCACAATCTCTCCCTTTAAACCCACCTGAAGTTATCACAATCTCTCCCTTTAAATCCACCTGAAGTTATCACAATCTCTCTCTTTAAACTTACCTGAAGTTATCACAATCTCTCCCTTTAAACTTACCTGAAGTTATCACAATCTCTCCCTTTAAACCCACCTGAAGTTATCACAATCTCTCCCTTTAAATCCACCTGAAGTTATCACAATCTCTCCCTTTAAACCTACCTGAATTTATCACAATCTCTCCCTTTAAACCTACCTGAAGTTTATCGTACTTCTCTCTGTTTCTGTCCAGATCAGCGTAGGCATCTTCCTTCTCTTTTTGAAGTCTGAATAGTTTATACTTCTAGAGATCAAATCGTTATTTTAGATTAAACAATGATTGTTGGAGCTTAACCAATTAATTTTTTATTGTTAACACGGTTTACGGAGCTTAAACAATGATTTTTGGAGTGTAGACATTGACTTTTAAATGGTAAACTATAGATTTTGTAGTTTAAACTTTTATTTTTAAAGTGTAAACAATAATTTTTGGAGTGTTAACATTGACTTTTGAATTGTAAACAATGGCTTTTGGAGCTTAAACTGTGATTTTTAAAGTGTAAACAATGATTTTGATGATTTGAGTTTGGATAATAAAATTTGGAGCTAAAGAAATGGATTTTTGATTTTTAACAACTTAACAATTTTATAGCATGAAAAAGAAATTTTGAAGCAAAAAATGTTTTTTTTGGGGGTAAACAATAATTTTTGGAAGCTTTTACAATAAATTTTTGTGGTTTTAATATTTGATTTTGGAGCTTAACTTAAATACTTTAATCTATAAGCGATTTTGGATATTTTTGAAAAATTAACACATTGGAGCTTAAGTTTAGTATTTTTAGAGAAGTTTTGAAGTTTAAACTATTTAATTTAACAACAGAAAACATGTATTTTTAGATCTAAAGACATATACTTTTGAAGTCAGATTTCCTTTTTTGGAGACTAAATATTTTTTTAAGAGGTAAAAAAGTAAGTTCGTGAAGCACTTTATTATGTTTCCAATCTAATTTAAGTAAAATGTTTGTTTTCCAAACCAAATAATTGTTACCTGTTATTAATGGCGGAGGCTTTCTCCATTTCCGCTTGAATAGTGTCCAGCTCGTACAGTAGTTTAGCCTTGTCATCTTGGATCTAGAATATTCATTCATTAAATCATTTATTATTATATTTCAGTAGTTTAGCCTTGTCATCTTGGATCTAGAATATTATTTCATTAAATCATCTATTATAATATTTCAGTAGTTTAGCCTTGTCATCTTGGATCTAGAATATTCATTCATTAAATCATTTATTATTATATTTCAGTAGTTTAGCCTTGTCACCTTGGATCTAGAATATTATTTCATTAAATCATTTAATATAATATTTCAGTAGTTTAGCCTTGTCATCTTGAATCTAGAATATTCATTCATTAAATCATTTATTATAATATTTCAGTAGTTTAGCATCTAGAATATTCATTCATTAAATCATTTATTATAATATTTCAGTAGTTTAGCCTTGTCATCTTGAATCTAGAATATTCATTCATTAAATCATTTATTATATTATTTCAGTAGTTTAGCCTTGTCATCTTGGATTTAGTATATTCTATGTCAGACCATAAACTTGTAAATGCTATTATTGTACAAATAAAAGTTTAAAAATACAGTAAACCGCAAAATGGACATGGGTAGAAGAAGGTTTAGAAAAAATACTATTTTTTTGCGGTATGATAAAAAATTAATGTCTTTTAGCTACGCTCAATAAGAACAAGTTTATTAATTAACTAAAAAAATTTGAGAAATTTTGAAAATGTTTTTTGAAAAAAGTGGAAATATTTGGTTCAGCTGGATTGGTATAATCTCTCCGCCGCGTCGTGTTCTGTAGAGATCCTAGGGATCGTCTTCTGCCACAGTCTTTTTTTAATGAATAACCCTGGATTATCAGAGAGCCCAATCAGAAAATTCCAAAGAAATATTGATTTTGGATGAAATGAAAGGACTGCAGTTTTTATCAAGAAGTTTCAATTTTGCTGAGTAACATTTTTGAAAACATTTTAATATCTTATGCAAATCCAATAACAGAAAACCTTAAACCTTTTCAAGTCATGGTGCTCAGTCAGAACTAATAAAAATGTATCAGGTCTGGGGGGATAATTTTGTTTTATATTTTATGAAAAGTGTGCATTGACTTTTTTCCCACTTGTATGATCTTTTTTCAGAATTGTTTTTTTTTGCATTTAAAAGAAACCCATGTTTTGAAATTTATATATTTTTCGTATTTTGGATACAGGGTGGCCTAGAAACTTGACAGTAGAAAGGGTCGTTTTTGATCTTTGAAATAGTTTGCAGCACCCATTAAATAACAAAATTCTCCCTGTCCTTTTGGTCTTAATTTTTAAACAAATTACTCTATATGTTTATTTCTATATTACTGTCATGTGTCGTGGAACACTCTATATCTGTGGACAGGGGTGCTAATCTCCCTATACCTTGAATTAAGTATATTTTTAATTGATTTCATAAGATAAATAAAAAAATGTGAAACTTTTCTCTCAATTTGTCTTTTTGAAACTATTTATTTTTAATTGAATGGTTAAGTGTAATCAGTGGCCGAATTTAAAGAATTTGAGCGGCGGTTTGAATTTAAGCCGCGGTTTAAATATGGTTGGCTCCACTTGAAATTGTATCAAATGTTTCAAGATTTAAGCCGGCGTTTAATTTAAATCGGGTTTTAGTGGATTTAAACCGCGGCTCAAATTCTTTAAATTCCCTCTCAGAACAAAGTAATCGAACAGTGAACTCAAAATAGAATTTTTAATATATTTGCAACCTGTTTTCGTAGACCTTTGACTGTTAGATCAAGTTAAATCATAGATTAAATATAAAAAATCTGCATCATCAGGTTATACAGATATTAGCATATGAAAATAAGAGATTTAAAAAACAGACATAACAACTGTTTATTATTATAGATTTTGGCTTTAATATAGTTTGAGAACACCGTTTTAAAAACACATATGGGTAGATGCTTTTTTTTTGTAAAATAAGAGTTCGCAATCTTTGCTAAAAATAAACCCACCTCACGGATAAAAAAATTCCAAAAGAAAGTAAGAAAAAAATATTTCTGGCGAAATAAATTGCCATGTCTATTTTCCAGATACAATTACAAAGTTGTAAACACTAATTTAACAAAACACAGGAGTAAAATCATTGTGCAATTTTTCTTCTCTTGTCAATGTAGAAAAAAATACTTTTTACTAAAATATTTAAACCCAATCTATGCTGTACCTTGTACACATTATGTGAGATACAATACACTAAAAAGTCCTAAAGTTTTTATAAAAATAAAAAAGAATTAATTACAAGTAATTACAAAAAAATACTTTAAGTTTTAAATTCTGGAAACTTATTATACATACATTGAGAACCAGAAAACTCTAGCATAAGAAGATGATTTTAAGACTCAAGTTTTGGCTTTAAATAGTCACAGAGACACCCTGTGTTACTTAATTACTAGTAAAACTAATTGCTTTCATTAAATAAACTTAATTATTACTTAAATGTCTGCTTCCAAAACAACAGTTGTCTGGTACTAAATGTATGAGAATCAAATCTAAAATCATGATAATCAAGATATTCCCAATAAAAAAGAAAAAGTATGGAATTTAAAAGTCATGTTTCTGTAATTTTGTTGAACAAAATGGAGAAAAATACTAAATATTTTATTTGATAATTTAATAGAGTAACTTTAAATGTCTAAAATTTCTATATAATAATGATTTTAGTTGAATCAAAACTAAATCATCTTAGTTTTACCAGGATAAATATTCAGCACGAAATCTCTATACGGCACGAAATGTTAATTTAAGAGTTTAAAGGGACTGTTAGCTTAATTTCAAGTATCACTCCATGCAAAGTTGGCAAAGTCCAATTCACAACGGTACCCTTTAAACCTTTATCTGGTCTGTGGAGGATATTGTCGTTTTTCTAGGGTTGTCCCTGATAATTTATATGTTTACCTGGAGTAGAACCCACAATTTAAAATAATACTTCTTCAATATTTAATTTTGATCAGACGAAGCTATTAAGGGTACCGTTGTAAATCGGACATTGTCATGGAGGGTCACTTGAAATTATGCTTACAGTTTCTTTAGTAATTTTCTATTGTATTAAACCATAAAACTGCATTTATATGCAGATTGAGAAATGAATAATTTATTGTCTCTTTGGTGGTTACATGGTTCTTACAGGTCAATGTATGTAGACCTATAGTTGGGTCTGTACAGTTGTACAGCTGTACAGTTGTACAGTTTAACCATGTGCTTATGTACAGAAACTGTCATGGCGGCCGTTGTACATAATTTCTCAAATGGACAAACAGTGCAGGAAGGACGGTAAAGCATGCCAGGGATGAGAGCAAGGAATTTATTTTGAGAACACTGATTTCAATACAATCCCAGAAAGGATTGGTCAGACATTTGTTGACAAAATTTGGGTTAAAAAAATTAAAAGAAATTGAGTCTTTGCCAGAAATTCTGATGCTTAATCCCCATATCTTTGCAACCCAATGACATAAATTTCAAACTATGATTTCTGTTAGATCAAATCATCTAAATTTACACCTTCCATTTGGAAAGATTATAGGAACTAGAAAATTCTAGTTTGTGGCAAAAAAACAGCGGTTTTTAGATATTTAAGTGTTAACATCATGAATTCCCGGCTCTGTGTCCTGATCCCTCGATACCTGCTCATTTTGATCTTTAAGATCCTGCAATATCTGAACTGAACTTAAAGTTGAGACCTTTAAAACCTAAAAGTTTAAGACTAAAGAGGATTTTTTTTTATTTCTAGATAAAGCAAATCAGTCTTTGCCATTAACTCTGATTTTCAATGACTTTCACCTTAAATATTTAAAACTTTGAATTCTCCTCGATCAAATAATCTGATTTTGAAATATCAAAGGTTTACTCCATCTAGGTGCAAAGAGTAAGGATTATAGATTGTGGCAAATACTCAATTCTTTTCTTGATTTTTTAAAAGACTTGAGGTAATGATTATTCCTTCCATAGAAAGGGATGGCTTATGGCAGCTTTATGGCTATGGCTAGTTTATTGCTGGTCATAATCTAAAAGCTGACGACTTTTGAAAATTCTCTTGTTCAAACAGAAAAATTGGCAAAGAAATTCGTAGTCACAAACTATTATTTTTCAATGCCTATATCTTTGCAACCTGATAGTGTAAAACCTTAATATTTTAAACTATGAATTTTTTTAGATCAAATAGTCTAAGTTTGAAATGTAAAAGATTTACTGCTTCAGGATTCAAAGATATGTAAGGATTAGAAAATTTGAGTTTGTGGCAAAGACTCAATTCCTTTGTTTGAGAACATTGGGAAAAATGCGCCCTAAACAGCAGCACTTAAAAGCTTAAACTATTGTTTAAGGGAAGCGCCTTAAAGACCTTGTTTATAAAAATTAAAAAGATAATGGTTTGATAAGATGTTGGTTGGATTTGCTCCAAGATAAATACTCTTAGGAAGATTTACTGGCTTTACAGGATTTACCAGTAAGACAATAACATTTGATTAAGAGGGAATTATATGATTAGCATCATAAATAAAACAATATTATTATTCAATATATAAGAGACAAACTAAGTTATGACATTAAAGCTGTTTTTTTAGCTGTTATTTTGTTATTTTTATTATTATTACGTTTTCTTATTCTGTCCCAGTTAATATCTGAGTTCCGTAGCTTTTGATAATTAAAAAAATTGATTTAAATTATTTTAAAAAATGTTTTTAAAATTGTTTTTCCATTTAAGTATTAAAGAAGAAGAAATCTAAAGTTGTTCTGCAAGCTTTAAGCTGCTGACCTCAAATTGTTTTTATAATCTGTAGATATATATATATATTACAGTTTTCAAAAATAGTTCTAATATCTACATCAAATAAAATGTATACTAACTCCTTATATATTTCTATTTCTATATATCTCCACATGAATATGTTTTATGGGAATAGAAAATAATAAAATTGTAAATAAATATTTTCTTTGATGAAATATCCCTATATGATGAGGTGGAATGTAAAGAAACGGTAAGAGAGTGGTTTTGTTAAAGAACTAAATATCAGGTTACAGGGATATATCTAGTCTCATTCTTACAACATTAGGAACATAGGAAATAGAATATACAGATCTAGTCCTATACCTTATCCTATTTCTTGTCCTATTTCTTGTTCTATCCCTTGTCATATCTCTTGTCCTATACCTTATCCTATTTCTTGTCCTATTTCTTGTCCTATCCCTTGTCATATTTCTTGTTCTATCTCTTGTCCTATCCCTTGTCATATTTCTTGTTCTATCTCTTGTCCTATCTCTTGTCCTATCTCTTGTCCTATCTCTTGTCCTATCTCTTGTCCTATCTCTTGTCATATATCTTTTCCTATCTCCTGTCCTATTTCTTGTCCTATCTAGTTTCCTATATATTAAACTGTCCTTGTCCTATCTGTCCAATCTATGGTGCGGAGGTTCTCTTGTACTATCTCATGTCCTATCTCTTGTCCTATTTCTTTTCTATCTAGTTTCTTCTCTATTAAACTGACCTTGTCCTATCTCTTGTCCTATTTCTTGTCTATCTAGTTTCTTATCTATTAAACTGTCCTTGTCCTATCTGTCTGATCTATGGTGCGGAGGTGCTCTTGTCCTATCTCTTGTCCTATTTCTTGTCTCTCTCGTTTCCTATCTATTAAACTGTCCCTGTCCTATCTGTGTGATCTATGGTGTGGAGGTTCTATCTTATCTACAGGGTGTCCCAAAAAACATGGGAATTCAGTGACGAATTCGATATCGTCTTTGTTATGAATTAGCATTGTAATACCTAATTTCAAAATCCAAAATATTATTATTTCTGCTAGAGTTTATTTTATGAAAGGGTAAAAGACTGCAAAGATGTGTCTATAATGTCTCCGCAAGATAAACAGTAAAGACAGACAAGTTTACTCTGTTTGTATACTGCAATTTTCTTGTTTTGCACAAAGTACTTAACCGTATGTAGTCAAAACATTAACAAACAAAATGTGAACATAGCAGACGAAACTCTTACAGATTGCAGCTTTCTCATTAAGTATCACTATACTAAATCAAAGAATTATTTGAAAAGACGATATCGAATCCGTCACTGAATTCCCATGTTTATTGGGACACCCTGTATGTATATTACAAGGGAATATTGTTCACTACAGTACACACTAAATACAATAATAAATTTTCTTGACATGTTTTATGTAATAAAGAAAACCCAACTTTACATATGTATAATATATATTATTCAATGTGATTTATAACTGTGGTTAGAAATTATTTATGAATCAGGTATGTGCCAACCTGTGAAAACTAAAAGAACATTTTTTTCCCGCAATGTTTACTGAAATTTCCGGGGGGTTTTATATGAAAGAAATGCACAAAAATGCGGAATTCACATGGAATTTGCAGTGATACATGCGGAATTTTTGCCCAACAATTTGTCCATTCTGCTAAAGACCCTAATTACAAGTGATGTGGAGTGGTCAAAAACTCTATTTTTCACTAAAAATGAGCCACACTTGAGTGCTGAGAAACTCTTTTGGACTCCTTAGGGGCGTATTGGTTTTTACATTCTTGTTAATTTAGAGTATATACAAAATTCATGCTGAAGCAATTCATTTGAATTACTATATATATTCACACAACCATAGGGCAATAAATTTGGTTTATTCCGATTGTCTCCGTGAATAAAGAAATACTGTCCTGTGTTTCATAATTCAGTGCAAGGATATTTATATATACAATAAATGGAGAAATATTTACAGTTAATCATCTTTATTAGACAGAACTAAAATAAGAAAACTAATATTTTTGAAAAAAAAATTTTTTTGGAGAGTTTAAACCTTAAATAAACTAAAATAAAGGGATAAAATTGTTAATCAAGCAGTAAATTCTTAATATGTTGACAGTCAATTTTAACCCTATTTTCTAGAATCCTGTAATCTTACATTTGTTATTAAATGTAATTTTTCCTTATCTTTTTGTTATAAAATAATAAGAATGTTTTTGTATAGAACAAAAGAGATAAAATACAGCTTAAACACCTATGGTTCTTGCAAAAGTATTTGCTTCGTTTTTGTAATTTTTGCTTTATAAATTGTTGCAAAAATATGCAAAGTTTCACACAAAAAATAGCGAAAAAAATAAGTAAATTTTTGCATTTCTGCATTTTTTTGTAAAACGTTTTGTTCGCTGCAAACCCTAATCAGTATAAACAGGTCATTAATAATTATGTAAAGAGTCATAAAAAACATCTTGACTGTGATAAAAAGTAAATTAAAAGCATTCTGAAATTGTGACTATTTTGTTTAAAATTAAGGACGGAATATCAAAGTGATGCCAAATATGAGATTTTCCTGACATATTTTTCAAAATTTTGAACAAAATGTTCATAATTTCCAAATAGTTTCAGTACTTGGGGGTAATGTTAGGATTTCTTCTATGGGATATAATAATTAGATGTTAAATGTAGATGGGTGTCAGACTTTCGAGCAGTTAAAAAGTGTGCGTACTTCGTCCATATTCTAGCAACAAAAATATCTATATTTTTGTGCACCTGTGTAAATCCAATTCTACAAGAAAACAATGAGCCTGAATATTATAGTTTTGTCAGACAGAAAATTTGAGTTGACACTTATGACGTTTAAACAGCTGTACTGAAAGTGTACGCATTCTGTGTTGGCGTCTATTGTACTTGACAACCTATTTGACTAGGATGACTAAAGAACTCGTCAGCTGTTCTAGGCTAGATAATCCTACCCCAAATTAGGCAGCACTAGGGTCTAAAGAATCCGAATTGGCGTTAAGAGTGGTATAAGAGTGATTTTAGCTACTACCGCTCTTATACCACTCATAAGAGTCATCTTTCTAGAACTGGCCTACAGCTATAATTACAGCTTGTTCTATGACCCGGGCTCTAATGTAATTGATACATATATTCAGTTTAATCAAAATATGAAATATCCCAGCTGGAAAATTATTTTTTCTTTCCACCGTTTTCTTATTTTCTACTGTGATCGNTTTCAGTTTCTTCCCCCGCCATCAGAGGATGAGGACACTAGTACTAGTGAAAGTGAGGCTAGTTCCGACATTGAAGACATAGACCTTGAATTAGATGAATAAAAGCACAAGCCAAGCCCAATCAATATCTGATTTGTCAAAATCATGTCATAATCATCTCATTTAAACTGACTTCAGTTTTCCAATCTATAATTATGTTGTAACCATGCCTGATGTATTAACGTTGATTACCCTAATTACTTGTTTGAATTGTGAACCAAGTCTTCTCCCCCCCTCCCTTTTTGTCAATACCCTTTTCTACCCCTCCTCCTTGAAGACCCTAATTGCCCCTACAAACTAGGCCTCCCCTCCCTTTTTATCTATACCCTTTTTACCCTCCTTTTTCTAGAAGGCCTTAATTGCTCCTACGAACCAGGCCAGAAGGCCCTAATTGTCCCTACGAACTAGGCCTCCCCTCCCTTTTTATCTATACCCTTTTTACCCCCCTTTTCTAGAAGGCCCTAATTGCTCCTACAAACCAGGCCTCCCATCCCTTTTTTTCTCAGCGCAGATACCCTTTTTCCCCCCTTTTAAACCCTATATAAAGGGCCCTCCGACCACCGCCAGAGCAGTGTGTGAAATGGTTTTAGTCCGAACGCCAGAGTAGTGTGTGATACAATTTTCAGCCGGAAAATTAAGGATAGCTCATTCAAATTCTAGGGTAAACAGTTATTTTATTTTAAACCTTGAGTTTTCCTAATCTTTGCTTTTTCCCCCTTTTTTTTTGGAATTCTTGGCCTTTTTATCTTATTATTATGTTCATGAAAGGTATCTATTTAGTTTTAGCGTACTAAGTACTTTTTAGCTTTTCTATTTTGTCATAACCACCAAACTGTATTCAATAAATTAGTAAAGTATTATCTTTTGACTTTGGTAGGTTAAGAGGCTAAGCTTAGGTAGATTTGCGAGCAGGAAGTTTTTTTGAAGATTGCTAGATTTTGTTAATACCATAATTAGATTGAATATCCTTACAAAATAGTTTAAATATCAATAAAAGTAAATGGGTGTCTCGCTTTTGAGCAGTTAACGTCTGATTTTTTTTTTAGGTTACTCTTTGTGTGATAATTTTTGCTTAGTATAGCTGTGCAAAATTTGCACAGTCAGGAGTGGAACATTTTTAATTTCCGCACATTAACTTACCCGTCTGGATTCTCCCTGGTTTCTCTCCATCTTCTCTCTGAGGATATCAATCTCCTGATGGGCTTTATCAAGTTCTAGTTGGGTCTTCTCATTAGCAACCTGGTACTTTCCAGCTGAGCCCTAGATATACAATACAATATGCAGAGGTGGAATTTATAGAATTTGAACCATGTCTAGATGTTGTTTGAACATGGTTGGTTCAGCTGGAAATTTTAATACATGTTTCCAGTTTTGAGCCAGTGCTCAATTTAAACCATTAATTGGTGGATTAGCAACGCCGTTCAAATTCTTTAAATTCTGCCTCAGGACATTCAACAATTTGAAGGTCTCTTTAACAATATGGAGTACACTCAAACAATTTGGAGGACACTCAAACAATATGGAGGACACTCAAACAATATGGAGGACACTCAAGCAATATGGAGGACACTGAAACAAATGGAGGACACTCAAGCAATATGGAGGACACTCAAACAATATGGAGGACACTCAAACAAATGGAGGAAACTCAAGCAATATGGAGGACACTCAAACAATATGAAGGACACTCAAACAATATGGAGGACACTCAAGCAATATGGAGGACACTTAAACAATATGGAGGACACTCAAACAAATGGAGGACACTCAAACAACATGGAGGACACTTAAACAATATGGAGGACACTCAAACAATGTGGAGGACACTCAAACAATATGGAGGACACTCAAACAATATAGAGGACACTCAAACAATATTTTGTACACTCAAACAATATGGAGGACACTCAAACAAATGGAGGACACTCAAACAATATGGAGGACACTCAAACAATATGGAGGACACTCAAACAATGTGGAGGACACTCAAACAATATGGAGGACACTCAAACCATATGGAGGACACTTAAACAATATGGAGGACACTCAAACAATATGAAGGACACTCAAACAATGTGGAGGACACTCAAACAATATATTGGACACTCAAACAATATTGTGTACACTCAAACAATATGGAGGACACTCAAACCATATGGAGGACACTTAAACAATATGGAGGACACTCAAACAATGTGAAGGACACTTAAACAATTTGGAGGACACTCACACAATATGGAGGACACTTTAACAATATGGAGGACACTTTAACAATATGGAGGACAATCAAACAATATGGAGGACACTCAAACAATATGGAGGACACTCAAGCAATATGGAGTACACTTTAACAATATGGAGGACACTCTAAAAATATGGAGGACACTCAAACAATTTGGAGGACACTTAAACAATTTGGAGGACACTCACACAATATGGAGGGACACTTTAACTATATGGAGGACACTTTAACACTATGGAGGACAATCAAACAATATGGAGGACACTCAAACAATATGGAGGACACTCAAGCAATATGGAGGACACTCAAGCAATATGGAGGACACTCAAACAATGTGGAGGACACTCAAGCAATATTGAGGACACTTTTTGCTTATTCGTTTTTGTTTTTCAAAATTTCAAAATAGCAGTTTGAATGTTTTCATCCTTCGCTTTTTCCAAAAAACAAACTTTCTATGTTTTGAATAAGCAAAAACCTAACAAAAAACTATCATTTTGGTTGTTTTACAAATCCTTTACCTGAACCCTCTCAAGTTCTTCTCTGATCTTATCCATCTCACTAGCATATTTATCCCGCTCAGCATATGACCTGAAAATAGTTAATTTTAGATGAGAGGACTAAAGAGACTTTAAGAATATTTTCAAGTGGTCCTCAATGCAAACCCGGCAATGCCCAATTTACAACGCTATCTTTGAAACCTTAAAGTGATCAAAAATGTGGAAGACTCAAAAAGTGTTTATTTCTGTGATCTTCTCCATTGTTTCTTCCGAGCAAGGAATTTGCAAGTCCCTTTTGCAGAGAAACCGTAAATAAAAATATACATTTTAAAGAAACAAAACCATACTTGATCGAACAAAACTTGGGGGGTACCATTGTGAATTGGGTATTGCCATCTTTAAGTGGAGTTTTACTTGGAATAATGAATACAGTCCATTTGAATTCTTTTCATTTCCTTAATTTTAGGGGATTTAAAGTTAGATAATGGTCTGATTTATCCAATACAAGATTAAAGTGATTAAAACAAGACAAAAACTATCCTTTTCAAATACAAAAAGTATTTAGTGCAAATGAGACAAATTATGTATTTGATTTATTATTTTAAAAAACCATACAGAGTTTCAGCCTTAAACTATCCATCTGCTTCAGTATATCAATTTTAAATATTTTATAAAACTTTCTTTTAAAACTTTAATAAATACTTTTTGCAAGAATTTAAAAGAAGGTGCACAGTTTTGAAATATTAAATATTAAAATAAGCAGAATTAGTACAGATTAAAACAATTTTAATAAATTTTATATCTTATCATATTTGATGGAAATATGTCTCTGCTTATATTTACAGTTTTAAGAAAAGAAAAAAGAATTTTGTTTTATGTTTGCAAACTTTCTAACCAAAATCTTGATAAAAAATAATTAAAAATCTGATATTAAACAAAATCAAAACTCAGAGCCAAGATTTCTAACATTTTCAAGGCCTACAGAATCCAAAATTAGAATAAGCTCAAATTTTAAATTCAGAAAAGGAAGCTTTAAAAAGTTGGTTTTGATTTCAGTATTTTTTATTTTGGTTGATAATCTCTATGCCACAAGATTGTTTCACATTTTTGAAAGCTATTTGAAGTTTAGAATTTGTTAAATTTATGTTTTAATCTAAATCTGAAAACTACTAAAACATCCGCTATACTACACTTCGAACCTATGGATCAACCGCTATACTATACTTCGACCTATGTATCATCCGCTATACTACACTTCGGACCTACGCATCATCTGCTGTACTACACTGCGGACCTACGCATCATCCCCAATAATACACTTTGGACCTACGCATCATCTGCTATACTAGACTTCGGACCTATGCATCATCCCCTATACTACACTTCAGATCTACGCATCATCCGCTATACTACACTTCGGACCTACGCATCATCCGCTATACTACACTTTGGACCTACATATCAACTGCTATACTACACTTTGGACTTATGCATCATCTGCTATTCTACACTTTGTACTTACGCATCATCCGCTATTATACACGTTGAACCTATGCTATACTACAGTTTGAGCTTACGCATAATCTGCTATACTACACTTCGGACCTACGCATCATCCCCTATACTACACTTCAGACCTACGCATCATCCACTATAAATACTGGTTTTGACAAAAATTTGATTTTCTTTCAAAATTAATTTTTCTGTTTAAGATTAGAAATTAAAAAATAATAAATTTTTTAAAAGATTTTTAAATTTGTTTTTAGAGTATTCCCTTGAAAATGGGATCAGCTTTTGCACATTTTTATATTTATATTTTTATATTTTGTTTATAGACATGTTCTTTATTTTAAATAAGCTTTTCTTATAAAAAACCAAATTTTAGAGTTTTTTCTCATATTTTACCCTCTTCAAGACATTTTTTTCTATTTGCAAAAGAAATAGGTTTGTCTAAAAGAAATTGTGTTTTTTTAAGAGAAAACTTAAGCTTCAAGAGGCAAAGCCAGAACAAAGTGTTACTTAGAATACAAACAATAGGAAACATTTAATAAAAATACAATATTTTAGCATTTTTCAGATAATAAATAATCAGCAAATTGTTGAAAACAACAAACAAAGCTTTATATGTCAATGCTAGACCTTTTTCATTTCGCTCTTTTATTGTTCATAAACAAACCATTTTGTTTTTGCCAAACGTTCAAAAAAATGGATTTTGTTTGTTCTCAAAACTATTGGTTTTTTAATAATTGTTCTAAAAATCATTTTTTCAGTAAAAAACTATAGCTTTTTAAAAATCTTTTATAAAATTTGTTCATTAAAGAAAAGTTTTTTTCCAATTAGTTCAAACAATTTTAAACCGTTCATTTTTTGGTTCATCCATCTCTATATCAAAGTATTTTCCAAGCTGAAGACAACAAATGTAACTTGAGATTTATCATGCGGATAATTAATATTAATTCTCCCTGATTTGTGTTTAAGTAAGTGTTTTCCTTTTAGAGAACAATAAGGGAAAATTAGTCTATAGCAGGAAAATATTTTCTTGATGAAATCACCTTACCCCCCACATACTTTTTAAAATATCACTTTTTCTAAAACAAGTTAAATAGAAAAGAATTTTTTTGATTTTTTTAAAGCTTCATTTTGTTCTGAGAAAAAAATAATATGTGGTGGGGGAGCTGGGGAGAGAATGGACCCCTGATCTAACTAAGTTTATTTTTTTTTAAATTGCCAGAGGTAACAAAGAAAGAAAACTAAAGAATGAAGGGGGAAAATATGATGATAAGAATAATTTTTGTGTAATTTTTAACCGAAAATTTTAAAAATTACAATTTCAAAATAACAGTATTGAAATAATATTAACTAAGAAACTAACCTGCTCAGTGCAGTTTGTATTTTATCAAACTCTTCTTGTATGTTCTCATTCTCAGACTGGGTATTCTCAAGCTTAGCTCTCAACCTATATATCTCACCCTGGCTCTTCTCAACCTATATAGGAATCAATACATTTATTGTTATTTGTGATGTCTGGCACTTTCTCAAAGACATTTTTCTAAGCGGCAACTTCCCGAGGGTATTTTTTAAAGTATTTTTTAGTATAATTTGTCTCTAACTCTCATTTTAATCTTTATCTAACGCCCTCTGATATTTCAAACTATGAAATCTGTTAAAAATTAGTCAAAGTTTTAAATTACAAAGGTCTAGACCTAAAATTTAAGATCAAGGCAACTTTAAACTCTGAAAGCTTTAGTCCCATGAAAAAGTAAATAACATCACTTTTGTATTAAACAATTAAAAATGTGAAATTTTATTCATCAAACATATGAAATTGCTATTGTCTCTAAATTCTCTGAAAATTTGAAGAAAATTTTTTTTTACCTTTTCCTGCATCTGTTCCATTTCAACGGTAGATCTTTCATAATCAGATTGGTTCAGTCTCAGCTCAGCCTATTTAGGAACGATTTGTAAGAAAAAGTCAAATGTCAAAATGGTGGCCAACGACCACCCCAGTAAATTTCTTGTTATGTCTAAATGTCCTATATTTGAAAACTGAAGGCAAAATGTTAGCCCAATACAAATTTGTGTCAAAATATTTAAGTGACCTTAGGCCGAATTTAAAGAAATTGAGCTCGAGAGAACCACAGGAATGTTCTTAGCTTGGGTTTGAGATTCTTACTTGAGTGGGTCCAATTTTATAATAAAAATAGCTAAAATCGTAATTTACGACCACGCCCGGGTAAATGGCAGGAGTAACCAGAGATGAGATTTTAAAAGCTTTAACCCGACTAAAACCCGGTCTTTTCGCCTGCTCAGACCCAAGTAAAGCTCAAGTCAAGACCCAGGTTTTGGATGGCCTTGAGTTTAGTAAGAACCAACCCTCTTGGGTTTTTCTCTCTTTGAGGCTCGAGCCTTCAGCAGCTGATGATTGTAAATTTGTACATTTAAAATCTCGGGAATTATTTGTGGTGTCAAATTTTATTAATGATATAAAATAAACATACTATAAAAATAATGTATCTACATAAAGTTTGAATTTTTGAAATTTACATCTCCTTGTCACAGCTGATCTGACGACATTTTGTCTGCTACAGAGAGAAAGCTTGCAAAACAGTCTCTCATTGGTCGAATCAGAACCAATCCTGACTTGGGTTCTATCTAAGCCCGAGTTTGGGTTTTAGTCGGGTCTAAGCTTTTAAAATCTCATCTCAGGGCAATGCAAGGTTCCCAATCCAGTATTGTATAATTTAACAAAGATGAGTTTAAGCTGTTTCCAGAACTTTAAAAAAAAACAGACTTCTTTTTCTTACTTTGTAACTTTTTATGTGCTCCCATGGCCAGCTGCAGTACATTTGAATTTCCAAGCCAGGTCACCGTTTCCAGTCCCAGTTTGTACTGTACCTAACTCTATGGACAGGACTAGCCGGTGCAACAAGGTTAACGCGGTCAGACTTTATGCTTTATATAGGTTGATTTTACTTTTATTAAAGGGGCAGAGGTGAGTGCTCCACATAAATCTATAATATTTTACATTGTTCAAAGTTTGCTTTTATCAGATTATGCTAGATTTTGACAGAAGATATAAAATGTTTGAACAATGGGGTTAACACGTTGATAAATCGTGTTGGTAAATACTAATTTTGATATATGACAGCTCAGATTCTGTTAAACCTTTTGAAGGAAAAACACCTTAAACCCGATTTTTATGTTAACAAAACTTTTCTCTATTGCAACAAGAAATATCAAGTTAAGAGGTCTAAAGTTAGGTCAAAGCCACAGTAGAAAAAAATTGAATACTTAATTATACCTTATGCTTTAATTCAACCTAGTGTAGGTTTAAAATAATGTGATTAAGCTACACAAATATATCAAAAGAACTGAATATTAGCACAAAATTTATTTTTTAACCTATCATCTTTGCAACCTTATCTTGTAAACCTTAGGTATTTCAAATGATTAACTCTGCTAATTCTGTAAAACATGTAAAGTGTGTGTACACCATCTGGTTGCAAAGATATAGGAATAAGAATTTGTGGCGAGTAATCTTTGTTAATAGCGTAATTTTAAGTGACACACTTTGCAAATTTACAATGTTAACTTTTTTTATTTTTTATTTTTTATTATAATATATATGTTTATTAATTTTCTTTGTTTTTATGTTTTCGTCATCAGAGTTTATTACTTTTTGAGTCAGAAAACCGACTTAATCTTTCACATCTATAATCAGAATAAGATTTCAAGGGTACCGTTGTAAATCAGACAATGTCAACTTTGCACAAAGGTCACTTGAAATTACGCTTACAGTTCTTACACCCACCTCTGACCCTTCAGTAAAAGTAAATTCAACCTAAAGTCTGACTGCGTCAACCTAGTTGCACCGGCTAGTCTTATTGAGTGTCTGCGATACAGTACAAACTGGGAGCGGAAAAGTTGACCCGGCTAGGAAATTCAAGTGTACTACGGCTGCCCGTGCCTTTAAGATTAAATTTACCTGTGCGCGTCTTAGTTCATTCTGAGCTTTTTCCAGTTTATCTTGGAGCTCAGCGTTCTCTACTGCACGGTCGATTCCCAAAGCACGGAATCTAAAGAAAAAACTTTAATAAATACTGAATGTTTTAATCATTCATTGCCAAACTTTGTACCCTGTCTCAAAATTTCCCTATTTTTCTAAGGCAATATAGTCTTCGCCACAAAATAAAATGTTCTACTTTTTATATCTTTGCAACCTGACGGTGTAGACCTTAGCTTTTTGGTCTAACATAATTCATGGTTATACAAAGTTATGAGGATTAGAAGAGTTTGTCGCAAAGACTCAATTCCTTAACCATTTTTTAACCTTAGGAAATCCCAAAAGTGTAAAAGAATGAAGTATAGAATGAAGTATAGAAATAAATATAAAAACTCATCGAATGAAATTCAACATTTATAGGTTGTAATATCATGAATGATCAGTTTAAATTAACATAATTGAATTATTTTCAATCTGAGTGGAATAATGAAAATCTGTGAATTTATATGGACATTACGCTCTATGCAACGAGGTTATGGAAAAATATCAGAATATCAAATGCCAATTGATCAAAAATCTTTAAATGATCAAAAAAATGTACGCTGAACAGTTAGGACAACTATTTTTTTTTTAAATATCACAATTTTACAATAAAGTAAATTTTAAAGTTTAAGGTATTCTTAAACATATTTTTATGATAAAACGTCTGTAAAATGCAAACTCTCTATTTCACACAATCTATTTTTTCTTCTTTCTCTTCTCTTCTATTTTCTACTCTTCTCTTCTCTTCTGTTTATCTTTTCTTCTCCTTTCTTCTCTTCTTTTTTCTTCTCTTCTCTTTTCTTCTTTTTTCTTCTATTTTTTATTTTCTTTCTTCTCTACTCTTTTATTCTCTTATCTTATCTCTTTTCTTCTCTTCCTTTATCTCTAATCGTCTCCTCTTTGTTTTCTCTTTGTTATTTAACCTGTTTTGAGATGAACAATGCATTACGATCCGTTGTTATGATTTTTTTCTGATTTGCTTACATTTCTAGCTTGTAGACCTAATTGAAACGTACTCCGTTTGTACTCCATAATTAGGCATTTGATCATTTGGCATTTGATATTTGATATTTTTGCGAGGTTATAGTGTATAAGTTGATTCTGGCCTAACCTATAGTAAATCAATATTAGTTAAAAGTTGTAAGTGTACAGTACAGCTAACTGAGCACACAGGTAGAGAAGTATCAACCCCCAGAGCCCGAAATTTAAAAGAGTATCGTTGAACAAAACTCCCGAGTTTCCTTCTTGGGGTCTTAACATTTGTGTAGATTTTGATTTAAGAGAATCAAAAAAAATTAAGAATATAAACAAACTGAATAAAATAATATTTCATAACAAAAATATTAATATTCTTAAAACTGCCTAACCCCATTCGTGAAACCCGGGTTTTAGAACTAGTTTTCAGAACGATACCCTGTCTTAAGTTTTGGGCTCTGGCTCTATGGTTACAAGACAAACATTAAGTCGCCAAAATGTGAAGGAAATGTAAATTTCGGTCGTCTTCGTAGGATCTCTCTGTACCTGTCTAGCTGAGGGCTGGGTTGTCTCTGATATCCAATATCACGTGATCTCTCCAGCTCCATATGCAACCTTAACAAAATGGTGATGACTAAATTTTTTTATTGTATTGTGCTGTACTGCACTGTACAGTACTGTACTGTACTGTACTGTACTGTACTGTACTGTACTGTACTGTACTGTACTGTACTGTACTGTACTGTACTGTACTGTACTGTACTGTATTGTACTGTACTGTACTGTACTGTACTGTATTGTACTGTGCTGTACTGAATTTGTATTATATTTCCTGAATAAATAAACAAAACAAACTATTAACTATCAAAGAAAAATGTCAAAATGTCAACGTTGTGTATAAAATATATTTATTACATAAAAATACATGAATAAACAGGTGGATCATATAATAAACCAACCAACGATATTGTATCAGGGGAATAATAAACTTAACCAAAACACCCAAATAAGCAATTCTAATCCTCAACAATATTAAAAAAGACGTAATACGATATCAATTTTAGAACCACACAATAGAGACATACAGTAAAACTATATTAGATGAAATTAATGTCTCTATGCTAATTTTTAATAGCCAACTTTTTTGAAAATTGGTTTAATGGATATAGGGGATTTAAACTAGGCTGAACAAAAAAACTGGACAAAAATGTCTTCCTTCAAAGATCTTTGTTTTTACTTATTTGCTTTTCAAATTTATGAAAATCTTAGTTATTTAAAAATTCGAGGGGGGGGAGGTTGATTGGGAGGGGTGATGAGGGGATGGGAGG